CCCCCAGGGGGGATGGTCACGCCGCAATCCCTTCTCCTCCATTCTCCTCTCGGGATCTTGGGCACGCACGCACACGCGCCCGGTGTGAGATTTAAGCCACCGGGTCCGAGACGCGAACCGCGGTCGACTACGTGGGAGTCCAGCGACATAGCCATTACGCTAACTGCTGGTTCTCTTGTTTTTTTTTTTTTTTTAGAGAGATTTTTTTTGATGGGGCACGTGTGCTTACTGGAAAAGCAGAGAGAGAGAGAGAGAGTGAGAGAGCGAGAAATCATCCCCTGGGGGTATGACCACAATCCCTTCTCTTCCATTTTCCTCTTAGGATTTTGGGCAAGCACACACGTGTCCCTAGTGTGAATTTTAAGCCGCTGGGTCTAAGACTTAAACTGTGGTCAGCCACATGGGAGTCCAACACCTTATCCACTATGGCAACCTGCTGGCTCCATGTTTCCAGCTCTTTTTTTTTTTTTAAGAGAGATTTTTTTTCTTTTTTAAGAGAGATTTTTGCTAAAGGGTGCGTGTGCTTGCCAAAAAGAAAATGACAGAAAACACCCCTTGGGGTATGGCTACATCACAATCCCTTCTCCTCCATTCTCCTTTTGAGATTTTGGGCACATACGCACATGTGTCCAGCATTGAGTTTCAAGCCACTGGGTCTGGGACTCAAACCGTAGACTGGGAATCCAGTGACATAACCATTACGCCATGTACTGGTCCTGAGAGATTTCTGCTATAGGGCACATGTGCTCACTAGAGACAGAGTGACAGAAAGCGAGAAATTCACCACCCTCCCTGCTGGGCGGATGGCCAGATTGCAATCAATACCTTCTTTATTCTCCTCTCAGGATTTTGGGTATGCACTTATGTGCCCGGCATGAGTTTTAAGCCACCACGTCTGGGACTCGAACTGCAGTCAACTATGTGGGAGTCGATGTAACCATTATGCCATCTCCTGGTCCCATCCCTAGCTCTTTATCTGGGGGAAAAAAGGTGGTTAACAGTGAAAGTCAAACCTAGCTTGAAGATCAGATTTTAGAATACTGTTTCTGGGGACCAGCAGATGATAATGGTTATGTTGCTGGCTCCCATGCAGTCAGCCGTGGTTCGTGTCCCAGATCCGGCAGCTTAAAACTCACGTCGGGCATATGTGCGTGCATGGTCAAGATCTCAAGAGGAGAATGGAGAAGGGATTGTGGCATGGCCATCCCCCCAGGGGATGATTTCTTACTTTCTGTCTCTCTGGCAAGCATACACACCCTATAGCAAAAAACCTCTTTCTTTAAAAAAAAAAAAGGAATATAGTGTCTGGCACACTGTGGTGTGTGCTGCTAATATACTGTGCTTCAGGCTGGGACCACAGGGAGGGTCTGGGATTTGATTCCTGGGCCTACCTAAAAGCCAGAGTGGTGGTGTGCACCTGTAATCCCAGTGGGGAGGCTGAGGATGGAGGATCTCTACTGTTATGTAGTGAGACTGTAAAAAAAAAAAAAAGAGAGAGAAAAAAAAAGAATACTGTTTCTAACCCAAACCACCTTTTGACAGAATGATTGCTTCTAATAGTCTACTACTTCTTTAAATTGTTTATAAATCACTCCACTCTATTTGCTGGGTTCTGATACAAGCTGCTTTAAAAAAGGGAGGGGTGAGACCAGCAGTTGGTGTAATGGCTATGTCACTGGACCCCCATGTAGTCGACCGCAGTTCAAGTCCGGACCCGGTGGCTTAAACTCACGCTGGGCATGTGTCCGTGCATGCCCAAGATCCGGAGAGAAGGAGAAGGGATTGCGGCGTGGCCATCCCCCCTGGGGGGGGTGATTTCTCACTTTCTGTCTCTCTCTGTCTTTCTGGCGAGCGCATGCGCCCTATAGCAAAAACCTCTCCCCCCCCCAAAAAAAAAATCTCTCAAAAAAAATAAATAAAAGGGAGGGGTTGGCAGGTGGCGTGGTGGTTAAGGCACTGGACTCCCATATGGCTGACTGTGATTCGAGTCCCAGACCTGGTGGCTTGGTTTTTCACTTTCCCTTTCTCTCTCTGGTCAAATTTAAAAATAATAATAACAAATAGAATTAAATAAATAATTTTTTTTAAAGGGAGAGCGGTAGATAAGCAGCAAATTAGAGGGAAAAAAGATGTGTTAAATGGACTTGTATATATTAGTAATGATAAAACTGACAGGCCATAGAGCCGGGGAAATGTTTTCCAGCACAAAGTACCGCAAAAACAACTGCCAACTGGGCTGAGACTAGAGGGTCACCCTTCCCTCTGAAAGAGCGGCACCCACTGAGATCCTAGTGGGCATAGTTATGGGCGGACAAAACAAGTTAGCTTTCAAGTACATTCAGGGCCAGTTAGCCTCCAAGCCCAAGCCCGGACTTTCCGTTGTGAGTCAGAAGTACGCAGTGAGTACTCACCAAGCTTCTGTGTGCTTCCCACTCGCCAGGACACATCGATTTACGGTGCGAATGGAGAACTAGCTGGAAACCACTTTTGTTTTCTTTCCACTGGAGGAACTGCTTCCAGTCTTTAAGGACTTTGTTGAAAGTAATCTAGATTGTATTCGGAACAGTTGTACCTGATGGCAAAGATCTAAATCTTCTGAAAACCAGAGAATTGATCCTTTAATCACTAAAGATATGAAATGCACGGGGGAAACCTACTTGAATCATCCAGACTTAGTGGTGCATTTTTGAGGGCTTGCTTTTGCCCTGGGCCTCGGTCACTAACATTCCTTTTGGATGAAATGGTTGTTGGGTATGGGGAACTTGACACCCATAAAGGGCAACAGCCCAAGGAAGTCAGGTTTCAAAGTGAGGAAAAAAAAAAAATCTTTATCAGCTTCCTTTGACTTCTTGAGAACCCCACTAGTGAGTGCATGGCTTAGCCTGTGTCTGGCACAGCAGGGAGCATTGCCATTTTGACGGTGTACCCAGCCACTCTGTCCCCACCTAGAGATTTGGTGAGGTGGGGAGGTTTTTGCTGTAGGGCACGTGCACGCACCAGAAAGAGAAAGACAGAGAGACAAAAAGCAAGAAATCACCCCCTAGGGGGGATGGCCACGCAGCAACCCCCTCTCCTCCATTCTCCTCTTGGGATCTCGGGCACGCACGCACACACGCCCAGAAGACTGTTTTTCAGACAGAACTTAACTTTTTAAATTATTTATTTATTTATTTTGGAGAGGTTTTCGCTATAGGGCGCGTGCGCTCGCCAGACAGAGAGAGACACAGAGATAGAAAGTGAGAAATCACCCCCCCAGGGGGGATGGCCACGCCGCAATCCCTTCTCCTCCATTCTCCTCTCGGGATCTTGGGCACGCACGCACACGCGCCCGGTGTGAGTTTTAAGCCACTGGGTCCGGGACGCGAACCGTGTTCTACGTGGGAGTCCAGCGACATAGCCATTATGCCAACTGCTGGTTCCCAACTTTTAAAATTATTTTTAAAAATAATTATTTTATTTTAACTTTATTTATTTATTTTAATTTGACCAGAGAGGGACAGAGAGAGAAAGTGAGAAAGCAAGCCACGATGGCCGTGACCTGAACTGCGGTCGGCCACGTGGGAGTCCAGTGACCTTAACCACCACACCACCTGCTGCCCCAGAACGTACTTTATTGAACAATACCCTCCTGTGGAGAGGGCAGCTGCCAGGCATTCTATAAATTGTACTCATTTCACCATTCCCTTCCAGCTGCAGGCCTGGTGGCGAGGCACAGTAGTGCGGAGAGAAATTGGTGGATTTAAGATGCCCAAGAAGGACAAAGATGACAGCAAGGATTCGAAAGGTAAAGAAAAAGACAAGCGGAGAGGCAAGAAGAAGTGACGAGGTTGTCTCCTGTCCTTCCCACTGCTGACTGGAGATGGGCAAGAGGACCTGGATAAGAAACGCCTTGCACATCAGATGACTCTTCCTCAGGCTGTTTGGGCATTCCCAGGTGAAGCTTGGTGATTTCACTTGGCCTGCTATCTTGTTTTCAAACCCTGAATTAAGATTATACCATCAATTCAGGCTTCCTCATATTTCAATTTTGCTGGGAAGAAGTCTTTTTAATAGGTTTGTGAAGGTTCCTGTTGCTCTTTTTCACCAGAAAAGAAAAAAACAAAACAACACAACAAAAAATGAAAACAGTTCATGGGTCTTAGTTATAGCGAGACATTAAAACTTCTGTAATTCTTGTAATGTCTGATTCTGATTTTATCTAGTTAGTAGCAAAAAAAACCAAAACGAAACAAAAAATACCCCACCTCTTACAAAGGTGAACTTTTTCTTTTTTGCAATATGGTGCATGAGCTCGCCAGAAAGACAGAGACAGAGAGACAGAAAGCAAGAAATCACCCCCCAGGGGGAATAGCCACACCACAATCCCTTCTCCTCCATTCTCCTTTCAGGATCTTGGGCATACACGCACCCAAACCTTGCCTGAGTTCAAGCCATCGGGTCTGGGACTCGAACCATTGTCGACCACATGGGAGTCCAGTGACACAGTCATTACGCCAACTGCTGGTCCCACAAAGGTGAAGTATTTAGTAGGAATTAAAAATGACTTTATGCAGGGCCAGCAGGTGGCGTGGTGGTTAAAGTGCTGGACACTCCCTCATGGCCAGCTATGGTTTGAGTCCCGAATCTAGTGGCTTGCTTTCTCACTTTCCTTCTGTATGTCTGTCTTTCTCTGGTCAAATAAAAATAAATGAATAAATAAATAGAAGTAAATAATTCTTTTTTAAAAAATGATTATACAAAGTATCCAACATATTGATAGATACACAGTCAAGTTTGAACAAATATTGGTCCCTGCCTCCCTTTTAGGTTTATCATCACTAAAGTCTTTCCTGGGATGATGATGGCATGGAATACATATCCTATCCTAGGCTGTCTCAGTGACTTTCCTGGGAAACAAGGAGGGATATGAATTACAAATACAAGATAGAAACGGATGCTAGAGGGGACCAGCAGTTAGTGTAATGGCTATGTCGCTGGACTCCCACGTAGTCGATCACGGTTTGCGTCCCGGTCGCGGTGGCTTAAAACTCACGCTGGGCGTGTGTGCGTGCGTGCGTGCCCAAGACCCCAAGAGGAGAATGGAGGAGAAATCACCCTGGGGGTGACTTTCTGTCTCTGTCTCTCTCTCTCTGTCTGGCGAGCGCACGCGCGCTATAGCAAAAACCAAAAGAAAAAAAACGGGATGCTAGACACTGTGAGGGGGGAAAAGAGGTTGGTAGGGAGTAAAGGGTAGGTTTGAGGTGTAAGAGGAAACTTTGGACAGATTGAGAAACGTAAAAAAAAAAGTTTATATGAAGGGAAAAAAATGGGATGTCAGAATATACAACCCACAAATAGTACATGGGGACACTGATTCTCTAGAAGGCTAGTTAATATTTTTGAAAAGCAGACACTAGGGTCTAAACCTGCTTTGTTTACTCAACAATTCCCACGTTATAGGGTAGTGAGACTAAGGGAGGCGAAAGGACCTGAAAAAGCCTAAGCTGCGCCTGGCACACAGCAGAGCTGACTGGAATTCTCCTTCTAGAAAGGGCGGCGCACTGGGGCCAGCTGGTGGTGCGATCGCTCAGGTGACTGAAGTCGTGACTCAGCCGCTTGAAAAGTACAGCAGGTGTGTGTATGCTCAGTCCCAACAGGAGAGGGAGAAATGAAGGGATTGTGGCAATCCCCCCGAGGGGCGTGTTGTTTTCTCACTTTTCTCTTCGCTCTCTCTTCAGAGTGCATGCACCCTCTGGTAAATTAAAAAAAAAAAAAAAAAAAGTCTTCTGGATCATCCTTTCTGTGATCAATCAAAACAGAGTGTCTCGGGAACCAGCAGTTGGCATAATGGCTATGTCGCTGGACTCCCCCGTAGTCGACCGCGGTTCGTGTCCCGGACCCGGTGGCTTAAAGCTCACGCCGGGCGCGTGTGCGTGCGTGCCCAAGATCCCGAGAAGAGAATGGAGAAGGGATTGCGGCGTGGCCATCCTCTCTGGGCGGCGATTTCTCGCTTTCTGTCTCTGGCTCTTTCTGTTTTGCACACATGCCCTATAGTAAAAACCTCTCCGCCCCCCCAAAAAAAAAACCCAAAAAAAACAGTGTCTCAGGATGCTAAAGCTTTCCCTGTAGCACAGCCGGTCATTTCCGATAAAAAAGTATACTAATGGGGAACCAGCAGTTAGCGTAATGGCTATGTCGCTGGACTCCCACGTAGTCGACCGCGGTTCGTGTCCCGGACCCGGTGGCTTAAAACTCACGCCGGGCGCGTGTGCGTGCGTGCCCAAGATCCCGAGAGGAGAATGGAGGAGAAGGGATTGCGGCGTGACCATCCCTCTGGGGGGTGATTTCTCGCTGTCTCTATGTCTCTCTCTGTCTGGCGAGCGCACGCGCCCTACAGTGAAAATCTCTCCAAAAAAAAAAAAAAAGTATACTAATGTATTACAAATGCGGGCTCTTCAAAAAGTTCGTGGAAAATGCATATTATGAAAAAAATGATGCAGATTTCATTTTTGGGGGCACCAAAATAAATTCATACTTGATTCCTTTTCCCAAAAACATTTTAAAGCCTCCGTGTACATTTCATGAATTAAACCTTTTTTTTAAAAAATTATTTATTTTAGGGACTGGCAGGGGGGATGGGGGGTCAAGGAACTGGATTTCCCCTGGATTCCCACATGGCTAACCGCAGCTCGAGTCCCGGACCTGGCGGCTTGCTTTCTTGCTTTCCCTTTCTCTCTCGCTCTGGTCAAATTAACAAATAATAACAACAAATGGAATTAAATAAATAAACACTTTAAAAAGAATTTTTTTTCACGCGTTTTTTCACAGAGAAAGAGAAAGGAGAGTGAGAAAGCAAGCCGCTAGGGCTGGGACTAGAACTACTGTAGGCCATGTGGGAATTCCAGCCCCTTCACCACACGACCTATTCCCCTGTGAATGAAGTCTTCTATCTAACCCTAGTACAGGCAATCTTGCTATTTGTACTTTTTTTTTTAAAAAGAAATATTTAATTTCACTCATTATTTTTTGACTTGATCAGAGAGAGAGAGGGAAAGTGAGAAGCAGGCTGCCAGGGCTGGGACTTGAACTGTGGTTGGCCATGTGGGAGTCCAGCGCATCATGCCACTTGCCAGCCTTATTTTGTACTTCTTCAAGATAAAGTAAATCTGGGGCCAGCAGGTGCAGTAGTGGTTAAGGAGCTGGACTCCCACATGGCCAACTATAGTTCAAGTCCTGGACTTGGTGGCTTGCTTTTACTTTCTCTCTCTTGAGTGCACGAGCCCTGTAGCAAACTAAAATAAATAAAATAAATAAAATAAAGATAAATAAAATGAAAAATTCTTAAAAAAACACCTGATAAAGTGAATTTTAATCTCACAGTACTATATAAAGACCCAGTTCTTACTGATGTTTCATTAAGAATTAGATATTCCTTCCTTGATTTATCTTAACCCAGGAAGGCATGTTAAGATACATAGGCTTTAACATTTTGAAGTGTTTATTAAGTGCTACTGAAGTGCTGGCTTTTGTTTTAATGTCAGTGTGGAAGGTGGCATACAGGCAACTTAACATACATATTATTAACATATTTATACTTAGAACTCATGTAATATATTTACAGACATACAAATACAGGACAATGTCTTACAAAATCTTTTACTAATTACATGTTTACAACATTTTCAGAATAGAATGCAACCTGCTATAAACCATCTCACTGTGTATATAAAAAGGCTTCTGCATATCCATGTTTTCCTTCATGTCTCTAACCATCTAAGCACTGAGTTTTAAACATTTATTAGACTCATCAGCACAGTCACACTTCATTAGTCACTGCTCAGCTGTGGAAAGAAATCACCAACTCTTTGATTAGCTGTAAGGCTGTATGTAAAAGCTGTTAAGGAAAGTGACCTACTGCTAAGCCTTTTTCTACTCTTGTGTTCTAGCCAAATAGGCCCTTCTTCCCATCAGTCATTTCCAGGCCTGGCTATTATAAGAGGAGATTGGTTTGGAGTGCTCAACAGAGATGGGTGTGAAAGTCTGGAAATTGCTCATCACATCTCCAAAAGTGGCAGGGGCCTGCTGGGTGGCATGAGTGCTTGGTCACATCAGTGCTGGAAAGGTCACTGCTTCAGGTTAGGGAGAACTGTGACAAAGTCATCTTCATCTTACACTGGAGTCTCGCAAGGCTCAATGTTAAACTGAAGTACTCTTTCCAGTTTAAAAAAAGATACATGGGACTAGCAGATGGCATAATGGTTCTGTCACTAGACTCCCATGTAGTTGACTGACCACAGTTTGAGTCCTGGACCTGGTAGCATAAAACTCACACTGGGCGCAATCCCAAGAGGAGAATGGAGGAGAAGGGATTGTCGCGTGGCCATCCCCACTGGGGGTGATTTGTAGCTTTCTCTCTCTCGCACGCACCCTATAGCAAAAATCTCTCTTAAAAAATAAGATAAAAAAAGTTACATACAATATACTGAACACAAAAATCCTCCAACAAAACATCATGATTTGTTTTTGCATCTTGACATGGAAAAAAAATTCAATATATTTAATATCTTTCCTTCATTATTAACCAAAACTGTACACAAAATTTTTCTAACAATTCAAAAACAAATGTGAATTATTTGATAAAAATACATTATTAAGGTTTCATGTTACATGAAATACTTGAAACTTCCACTTATTTCTATGGGAACATTAATCACAGCTCTCAAGTACTGCATTATGTAATGTCTTCTGGAATTATTCCTTGCATAATTTGTTAAAAACAGTCCTGTCCTTTGCTGAGTTAAATTTCTAGTGGTACTCTACAATTTGGAGATTCTACTGAGGTTTAGTGTTGACAAGGAAGAATACCTATAGTTTTAAAATACACATGGCTAAATTCTAAGAGATTATAAAGTTGGTAGGTCTGTTTGGAATTATAAATATAATGGAGTCTGGCTCTAAACATTTATAGGACACTTACTGTTGTTCCCGAAGACCTTGAGGAATTGGGCTTTGTGATCAGATGTCTTAAATAATTTAAAACTCTGACAAACTGGTAATGTTCTCAGTTGCTTTTATGAGAGAACATGGTGAACATCTTATTTTGACTAGATAAGCAACATGATTTTATCCAAAGCTACTTTTAGATGCTTCACTTACATGATAAACAGAGGGATAACATTATACTCAAATGCATGCATTGGTAAAGAAAAAACACACAACCTAAATAACTAGTATTTTCACATACTCTATTTACTTGGTTTACAAGGGCAGTGAATACCAAAAGGTATCACTGACAACAAAAAGGGGTTCAAAACCCAGGGGAAGAAGGGGCCGACGGTGCAGCAGTTACTCAACACTGTGATGCCAGACACAGATGTGTTTGCATCCTGAGGCCTGCCTCTGCATGCCAGATGTGTTTGCGCGTGCGCGTGTGTTCAAGCAATCCCGCTGGCTGAGGCTGGGAGTCAAACTCCCACTGGGGGCACCTCTTGTTTCTGTCCTTCTGATGGATAAACTTAAAAACAAAAACAAAAAACAGGGAAAGAAAAACCTTCAATAAAAGCTCCTGACTTTGGGTTGTGTGAGCCCCTGGGCTCTTCTAGTCTATCCACAACTGAGTATATAAGGCACTAGTGGTGGGGCTTGATGAGGGCGAGATGAAAAGATGGGAAGCTCTTTTTTAAAATGCCCTAAGGGGCCAGTCGGTGGTGTGATGACTAAGGTGCTGGATCCCACATGGCTGACTGCAGTTCAAGTCCTAGACCCACGGCTTGAAAAACATGCCAGGTGCACATACACATGTGCCCAAAATTCTGAGGAGAATGGAGGAGAAGGGACTATGGTGTGGCTGTCCCCTCTAGGAGTGTTTCTCACTTTTCCTTTCTGTCTCTCCCTGGCAAATGTGGGCACCTTATGGCAAAAATTATAAAGAAAAAAAAAAGCCTTAAATGCTTTAAGAAGCCACAGAAACTGGCAGTTACCTGGAAAAAATAGAAGAAACGTGGCTTTTCCTGCTTCTTTTACTTTGTTTTCATGTCCTTCCATTAGCTGGAAAGCTGCAGAAGTGTCCGCTATGAGTGGACCTAATCTAAGAGCCAGGTGTCCAGAAGCAGCGTGGGATAAGGTGGTTCCATGCAGGCAGCGCAAATGCTGCCAAGTAGTGTGTGTGAGCAGCACTGAGGGGTCGGCCCTGTGTGTGAAGAACCTGTTTATAAGTTCAGATAATAGCAGGATGATACAGAGCCATCTCTGCAAAAAGCTGCTGTGGTCGTGGCCCGAAGTCAGAGGGGGACCCAGAACACTGGCCCTAAATATAACTATTTCTTTCACTGTTTTACTATCCAAAATCTAGGCCTTCCATATTACTTCTTTCTTTCTTTCTTTCTTCTTTTTTTTTTTTTAAACAGGGTCTAACTACGTCACAACCCTCCTGCTTCAGCCTCCTGAGTAGCTGGGACTACAGGCATATGAAGCCTGGCTTTCAGGTGGACTGGGGACTGAACCTGGTTCTCCCACATGGCCCCAGCCTGTTTTGCCTTTGACAGTACAGCCAAGTTGTCATACTGCAGCTCTGATTGTAAATATGGTTGAAAGAAGCTGTGGGGGCATTACTCTCGAAATCTGTAAGAATACCTAGCTTGGTACAGTGGTCTGTACTACATGAAAAACACCTGGAATGTCTGCCGAAAATGCGAATTTCCAGGTCTCACTCCAGATCGACTAAATGTGAATCTGTATTTGAACAAATGCTGCAGGAGAGTTTAGAAGCCAGTGGGCTCCACATGTCCCGGGAACCGGTAAAGATCATGGCATGTCTTGGCCTCCAGGAGCGCTTCACATCCCCTGGGAAGACCTCTCTGGTACCCACAAGTCTACTCTAGGAAAGCACAGCCAGCTTAGACTTCGGTGTGGCTGGGTTCTCAGTAACGAGAGACGTTTCATTTGAGAAAACCAATGTGTCTTCATAAAAAATTCAATGAAAAGGATATACCCTCCCCTAAAATGGAGAAATGAAGTACAACATTCCTGATAGGAATCATGGAAACAGTCCCTTCTAAGAACACATTCGAGCTTTGTTAAGCAGATGGCTGGCAGCAGCAATCGCGGTGTCTGTTCCTTGTTCTGGCCAGGCCAGTGCCCAAGGTCCCAGGAGTCCTTACACAGCAGATAACTGGTGCTGCTGCTGCTTGGGTGGGGCGAGTGCCAGGAGAGCCTGGACCGTCACTGCAACCTGGCTCAAACCCTTCTCTTCTAAAATGTGGAGAGGCAAGCATAATTGCTCCTAAAATGGGACAACGTAACATAAAAACAAACAAAAGAAAAAACAGTGAACGTCACAGAACTGAAAGGGAAAATGAGCCCTCTTCTCCCCCTCATAATAATCAACGGAGACACGCAGTCAGTACCTGGGAAACTACCAGTGCTAATGAGAGTCAGACACAGGTGATGCCTGACACTCACTGTCGCTTTATTAATACAAGTAACATACATACAGGCATCGGTCAGACGGAAAACGGACAAGTAGCATACATTTATATGTACGACAGAAGAAAAACAATACTGTGGAGTGAAAACATCCTTTATCCCTGATCAAGAAAAGACTAATGTAAATCCATAAAACTGGCAGGTGAAAAACAAACAAACAGAAAGCACTCTGGAAATCACACACCACAGGAATGCAAGATAGTGTCCAGACAGCTCAGACTGCACGAGAGACTGGGATGCCTGCTGTCTGCATTATAATCCTGATTCTGAAAACCAGGGTTCTCAGGCCAATTGGGGATCTCAGGAAGAAACTTACACCATCTTGGGCTCTTGAGATTTAGATACACTAGAGAAACTTTCCCCTAATTTGAATAATTAATAGATGGCCTAGTCTGAATTAGTTAAAATTCTGAATTATAGAAGTAAAAAGAAACTGTACTTTGGTATTTAATGGATCAAATTATGCTAGAGAACTAAGTGTTGACACATTTGTGTAAGGAAGTTAAATAGGTCTATCTTGTTAACTTCATTAATTTGTTTGGCTAATCCTTCTAAGAGAAAAAGGCAAATCTTAAAAATAACAATCACTGGCTTTTCTGTTAAGACTAAATATGCAGGAAAAATGAGACCACTCTCAAAAAGAACAGAAAGTGGAATTCTGGTCCCACTAAAAGAGAAATCACACATATTTATTAAAGAATAAAACTCTGCTTTTCATCAGCACTCACTCTATTATCAGGAACTTTAGCAAAACCAGTTGCAATAAAAATGACAAGTATTTATTTTTGAGGCAGCTATTGGCACTTGTGCTTGTTACGTTCTTTTTATTCAATACTTAAGTAGATTAAACAAGGTAACTGCAATCTTTTCATCCAATGAAACTAGCAACTTTGTATAACTACCTGGGTACAAGACAAGTCTTCAAATGACTCTGCAGTGTTTCGCTTTTAGACATACTTTCTCCAGTACCAATGTCCTGACCTCAGTGGCGCCCTGTGACTTGTGCAGTCCAAGGATTTGAACACTACGGCTGTGTGCTTTCTAGATGCACATTCACCTTCCAGCTGGCTGAGAAAGCATGCTGTGTGTTCTTAAAAGAATTAAAAATTATGGGGCCAGCAGGTGGTGTGGTGGCTAGGGGCGTTGGACTCCCACATGGCCAAATATGGTTTGAGTCCCAGACCTAGCAGCTTGCTTTCTCTCTCTCTCTCTCTCTCTTTCTCACTCACTCTGATCCTCTCTGGTAAAACATAATGAATGAAAGAGAGAGTGAGTGAGTGAGTGAGTGAATGAGTGAATGAGTGAATGAATGAATGTTAAATAGGGGCCAGCAGGTGGCATGTTGGTTAAGGATGCTGGACTCCCACATGGCCGACCGCAGTTCGAGTCCCAGACCTGGTGGCTTGCTTTCTCACTTTCCTTCTCTCTCTCTCTCACTTTCGCTCTCGCTCTGTCCCTCTCTGGGCAATATAAATAAATAAATAAATAAATAAATAAATAAATAAATAAAGTTAAATACATAATTATTTTTAAAAAGTTAAATAGTAGAAAAGAAAAAAGAATTCAAAATTATTACCCCTACACTGCACATGACTCTAGTGTTTTTGCTTTTGTTTTTAAAACTTTTTTTTTTTTTTAAAGGGACAAAGCTCCACAAATAAAACAAATCAGGGCCAGCAGGTAGCGTGGTTAAGGCGCTGAACTCCCAAATGGCCAACCGCAGTTCAAGTCTTAGACCTGGTGGCTTACTTTCTCACTTTCCCTTTCTCTCTCTCTCTATCACTGGTGAGCATATATACCCTATAGTAAAACTTTAAATAATCTTAAAATAAAAAATAAACTGAAAGTCCCAAATTCTGAAAGGCACTACTGCTGTATAAAACTAAGGTTTTCATCACAGTGTTCAATGTTTCAGCATTAACCGTCTTTTAGTCTGTTAAATATCTGTCCTATTTCATATGGAAGAAAACCAAAGCAATCAGGTCCTCAGGCGGAATTCTACAGTAGGAGGCTATACTCCTGCCCTCTCTCTCTTTTTTTTTTTTTGGAGAGATTTTCACTGTAGGGCGCGTGCGCTCGCCAGACAGAGAGAGACATAGAGTCAGAAAGCGAGAAATCACCCCCCAGGGGGGATGGTCACGCCGCAATCCCTTCTCCTCCATTCTCCTCTCGGGATCTTGGGCACGCACGCACACGCGCCCGGCGTGAGTTTTAAGCCACCGGGTCCGGGACACGAACCGCGGTTGACTACGTGGGAGTCCAGCGATATAGCCATTACGCTAACTGCTGGTTCCCTCCTGCCCTCTCTCTTTATACCTGAGTTCAGCTGTTGATTCTAACAGAGTTTAGGTTTCCTGACTGTTCAGGAACACCCTTTATGAGAACTGAACTCTGAATGCAATCCTAACTTTTAAGCATTACTGTCCATTGGCTAATGTGGTAAGAATGCTGAAAGACACGCACAATATACATGGCCTTGGGTTTAAAACAGACACAGCTGCCTAACAGTTTACCTGTTATTATTGTTCAGATACAATTGCTCCCTGGCCTATGAAGTGCAAGTTTTCCTATTAAGATGGTATGAATATGTTAAAAATGATATAAATTCTGATTTTAAATTCTAAATAGGATTCCAGAAGGAAATCTTGGTCAAGGATCACAAATACGTACATGTGGACAGGTAGCTGCCCTGAATGTTCAGCTCCAGATCGTTCGTTCGTTGCATACCATTCTAAATTAACATCCTCAGAACAGTAACCTAGGGCATCTTCATGATCGTAAACGGAGCACTCTGACCAAATGAAAATGACTAATAATTAAGTGGTCGGTATCTTTCAAATGCCCAGAGAGCAAATGCTTAGATGAACCCTTATCGGAAACAATAAAGGGAGAGGTCAGGGTTTCAGGGCATAGCTCAGCACAGAGCTCTAAGTGACCAGGTGCCTCCAAATCAGAAAAGTGCTCACAATTTCAACAGTTAGTTGTATGGAGGTATGGAAAAATGACTGGAGAGGGATTTTATTGTGTCATTTAGAAATAAACTTGTATTGTCATATTCTAAAAACAGGTTCAGGATTGTATTAGTGGACATGCTCTAACGTTTACTATGAAAGGAACAAGGCCCCGGGCCAGGAGAATGGACAAACGGGCAGGGTAAAAATGCTGGACTTTCACTCTTTGTTAACAATCATAAACGCTTCCTGATGTAATGGGCTGCTCATCTGGACACACGTGGAAAACATTTACGTACTGGCCAGGTCTTTGATGGCCAAGGTGGAAAAAAGCACGTATGTGCATTAATTCTGGATGGAAACAAACCTTTACCAAGCACAGGACTGAGGTAGAGAACCACTGGAATGCAACCTTTCAGCTAGAGGGGAAGAGCCAGTAATAAAGCACACAGAGAGTTAACATTAAAGTACAATAAAATGCCACAAAACCCAGAAGTTGCATAGACAGAGAGACAAAACTGGATTCTTCTGAATGTGCCCCAAGAGAAAGTAGTGTTTCAACAGTTCTTTTAACGCTGAGGTTTAGCTGAAGGATGTCGGAAGGGGAACAAAGATTGTCCTGTCCAAAGTGTGAGCAGGAAAGGAAAACAGAAAAACAAAGTCAGTGGATCAGAAATGCAGATTTGAGTACAGATTCAATATGAACATATCAGTCACATGCAAAGATACACATCCTAGAACACAGCTCACTACAATGAATGAAAATGCTGAAAATCAAAACTACTAATAATCTTCTATACGTGGAGCTTGATGTTACTACTGAAGAGCAGAATCAAATGTGCTCGTTGGTGACCGCATGAATGTTAAAGACGATTCTCAGAACTGGATACTGGCTTTGGGCTCTGTGAGGCCTGAGAGTGGTGAGGTCTGTGGAGGCAACCTCTTCCTTGACTCTCACTCTTCCCTACTAATGAAAAAAGAATTGGTCGGAAAGCAAGGACAAAAATTGGAACAGGCTGACAGGAGGGAAATTTTCAGAGAAAACCAGGCAAATCAAGAAGGTTCAAAGAATGAGAAAAACAAAATAATCAGGGAAAACTTACTAGAAGCCAAACGCACTAAATGACTTGGTCTTCCCTTAAAAACTGGGTCAAGCCTATCTCAGCCAAGTCCAGGTCACAGAATAAATGTAGAGCTGTGAGGGGCCTTAGAGATCATCCATATCCTCTACTTTGGAGATCAATATATTAAATAAGTAAATGAAAACACTACAAGACTGGACAACAGAAGTATTCTTTAACACATATGACAACGCCAGGAAGTGAGAGATTAAACTCAAATACAAGTTTATTTTTTATCACTCTTTATAGTTTAATGTAACATATTTAAAAATCACAATACTGTAATAATAGTCAATACCCATATGCTCAGTCTCACTTGAGGTTTTTAATAGTCTCCTTCATCTTTAGTGTTTTATTTATAATTTAATGTATGAAACTTTAAAAGCTATACTGATAAAATTATTCACTTTTTTGCATATTATCTGGGCATAGAATCTGACAAATATTTACAACATTAAGTTTTCTGTCTTATATTTTCAAAAATGCTCATTATTAGACCCCTGGTTTTCTTTTCAAGTCAAATAAAGTAAGAGGGGCTGTTTAAGCGAAGGCTAGGATGTGCTGAGGAGGGGAGAGGAAGGAAAAAGAGGAAGGACAGATCTTCCTTCCTGTAGCGGAGGGACCTGAGATTGCTAGTTTCAACTTATAGGTGTATAGATTTATTCATTTTCCTTTATTTTGCTTTAGGCAAATGGCTAATTTTTTAGCAGCATAAAATCTGTAGTGGTAATGGTAGGGATGTGGGCAAAAGGCAGAAGGGGAGAAGAAAGAGACAGCCTGTGTGGAGTGTCCATTTCTTCCTCTTGGTAGGGAAGCTGGAGAAGGAAGAGGGTGTGTCAACAACCCCAGCCTAACCACTCTTGAAAACGACCCAGTCCTTTAAAATTGTATTTTTTTTTCTATCTACATACCTGCCTTCAAATAGCACAGCTCTGCAGGCTGTCCCAAAATAAATCTGAACAACCACTGCTTGACAAATGCTGACTTAAATGCATGCTTTAAGGCACATTGTTTTGGCATTTTACTGACTGATGGCAGGAATAGTGTCGGTACTTTAAATCAGAGAGGATGATTCTACAAAACTCAGCAGACAGGTGTAACGACTGTAAAAGCTGGTAAACAGTGCTTTTAACAGGTGCTGGCACAGGCTGTCAGCCCACCTCACTTGAATAGGGCTGTGTTCAACACTGTGCAGGGCCTCTTTTTGATCACTCATAACTTTGCTGTGGTTCTCATTCTCTGCACCAGCCCATGCCACTTGCTCTTGTTCAAGTCATCATGGTATGCAACAGGGGCAGGTACTGGGCATGTTTGCATAAGTAGAAACGCTTTTAGTATGCAGAAGGGAAAAACTGAGTATTAATATGCACGTGTGAATAATAGAACCTGCTTGTTAATATGGAGAAAATACTTGCTAGAAACTATATTATATACTCTTGATATATTTTCTAATGGTTCGTTCTAGGGCCAGCCTATAGTGCAGTGGTTAAGTGCCGTGCATAGGAAGCTTGATCCCACATGGCTGACTGTGGTTCAAATCCTGGCCCTGGAGGTTTGAAACATACATTGGGTACACATGCTCCAAATTCCAATGGGATAAAGTAATGGAGGAAGGATTATGGCATGACCCAGTCCACTGGGAGGTGTTTTCTCCCTTCATCTGACAAGTCCATGTGCTCCCAGGCAATTGGGAAAAACAGTTTCTTTTAAAAGTACCAGCTCAGTGGTTTAATATAATTATTATTTCTTTTGGTGGGAAGAGATTTTTGCTATAGGGCACATGCACTAGCCAGAGAGAAACAGAAAGACAGAGAGAGAAATCACCCCCCCCTCCCAGCGGAGATGGCCACACCGCAATCCCTCCTCCTCCATTCTCCTCTCGGGATCTTGGGCACGCACGCACACACGCCCGGCATGAGTTTAAGCCACCAGGCCTGGGATTCAAACCGCAGTAGACTACATGGGAGTTCAGCAACATAGCCATTAACGCTAACTGCTGGCCCCTTATCTGCTTGTTTTTAATTTTGTCAAATGGCATGTGTACTTGCCAGAGAGGCAGTGGGGAGGGCAGAGAAAGCACCCCCCATGGGGCACGATTAACGCTGCAGTCTCTTCTCTTTCATCTCTCTCTCTCTCCTTTCAAGATTCTGGACATGCAAACACATACACTGGGCATATTTCTCAAGCCACAGAGTCAACTTGAGCTGTGTAGCTGGCCAAGTGGGATCCAGCGCCTTAACCACCACACCACAGACTGGCTCAACATAATTTTTTTTTTCTTTTCAATTGCCAGAGGGAATGTGAGCTTGCCAGAGAGAGATGGAATGACAGAGAAGTGGGGAGAAAGTACCAGACAATGGAGAGTAGGCATGCTCTCCTCCCTTTGTTTCTCCATACTGCTGGGATTTGGGCATGCACATGTACCAGTGAGTTTCTCAAGTTGCCAACGTTGGGACTTGAACTGAGATCAGCCATGTGGGATTTGGCTCCCTTAACCACTAGGCTACAGGACCGATCCTAGAATTGTTTTTCTCCAAAGGATGACTGAGTAAAAAGTATATCAAGTCCATTCTCCTTAACCATATTTATAAATAAAGCTTAACTATTTGCATTATTAAAGGATATTAACATTATAACTGAGGAATCTAGAAGCAATAAGGTCTAATTGCAGAGTAAGTGCTTAGAAATAGCCTCTCATATCCTAAACCTTAGAGTATTAGACCTTACTGAGAAAACTGATGGAATGTCAATAAAATCTGAAAGTCAGTATTATTCCAGTATTCCTCAGTTTGCACAACTGCACTGGGTCTAACAAATGGGATGTTAGTGTTAGTGGAAGCTGGGTAAAGTATATATATATAGAAGCTTTCTGTGTGATTTCTGCAACATTTCTGGAAGCCTAATATTAGTTCAAAATTAACATTTTAAAAAGTATTAAAGCAAATGTTTAAAAACCTGAAACCAACTAAAGCATTCTCAATCTGAGATGCACTTATTTTGGGAGAGAGATGCTACTGTGTATGGAGTTGTATACAAGTCAAACAGCAACTGGGATGTTTAGGAAAATGGAATAATCATTTTTAAGGAATTATTTAGTATAATTTATATTTATGTGTTTATTATTTCTTTGTACAGTCCTTAGAAATAATTAACAAAAACTGATCAAAAGCATATTAACTCTCAGAACACAAAATCATGTTAGTAATGATCACTTAGTTTAAAGCCAGTTCTATAAGATTTTAGAGACTTGCTTTTCTGAGGGATTTTAGGATAATATTATCTGAATCTATTTAGGCTACATAGGAAAATGATCAAGTTATTACCTGAGGTACACCAATCTTTCTGCAAGCTTCTAGAAAATTCTCCACATTTCGCCTGCATTTGGCCATTGTTAATTTTGGCTGCAAGAAAAGGAAGGAAAATAATGGTGTTACTGGCAAACTTAAAAATTTTATTCTAATCTGAAATATCTTGCCAATTGCTTTAAACAATTCTATAGAGGGTCAGTAAACTTTTTGGTTTTTTTTTTGAGAGGTTTTTGCTATAGGGTGCGTGCACTCATCAGACAGAGAGACAGAAAGTGAGAAATCACCCCCTCAGGGGAGATGGCCACGCTGCAATCCCTTCTCCTCCATTCTCCTCTCGGGATCTTGGGCACGCATGCACACGTGTCTGGCGTGAGTTTAAGCCACCGGGTCCAGGAATAGAACCGCGGTCGACTACGTGGGAGTCCAGCGACATAGCCATTACGCTAACTCCTGGTCCCAGGGTCAGTAAACTTCTTAAAGAATGGGGTAATAAATGTTAATCTCGAGGGCCGTATTAACTGTTACAATTACTGAATTCTGCTAGGAGCACGAAAACAACCAGAGACAACACGTAAACAAGTAAGTGTGGGGGACCAGTGGTGGCATAGTGGTTAAGGCGCTGGACTCTTACATGACTGAGTGTGGTCAGTCCTGGACCCAGTGGCTTAAATCTCACGGCAGGTGTGTGTGTGCCCAAGGACATCCCTCCTGGTGGGTGATTTCTTTTTTTTTTTTTGGAGAGGTTTTCACTTTAGGGCGCGTGCACTCGCCAGACAGACAGAGAGAGACAGAGAGACAGAAAACGAGAAATCACCCCCCAGGGGGGATGACCACGCCGCAATCCCTTCTCCTCCATTCTCCTTTTGGGATCTTGGGCACGCACGCACTTGCGCCCGGCGTGAGTTTTAAGCCACCGGGTCTGGGACGTGAACCGCGGTCGACTACGTGGGAGTCTAGTGACACGGCCATTACGCTAACTGCTGGTTCCTTACTGGTGGGTGATTTTTCACTCCCCCCTTCTTCCCCATCTCAGGCAAGCACATGGGCCCTATAGCAAAAACTGAGAAACAAAAAAAATATTCACAAAACAGGTGAGGGCCTCAGAGAAACAGTTTACCACTTCCATTTTAGACATTTAGCTTTGATTTTTTTTTATTTTTTGAGAGTGTGTGCGCTTGCTAGAAAGACAGAGAGAGACAGAGACAGAAAGCGAGAAATCACCCCCCAGGGGGCATGGCCATACTGCAATCCCTTCTCCTCCGTTTTTCTCTCGGAATCTTGGGCACACACACACACACCCACCCGGCGTGAGTTTAACCCACTGGGTCTGTGAATTGAACTGTGGTCAACTACACGGGAGTTCAGCAACATAGCCATTACACCAACTGCTGGTCCCTTAGCTTTGATTTCGTAAGAGAAGTGCTAAGTAGATAAATTTGTCAGGGATAGGTTTTTTTCTAAGGCATGGGTGAGTGAAATAGGTGGGGGAGCGGGGAGTGGGAAATCATCCCTAGAGAGGATGGCCATACCACAGTCCCTTCTCCTTCAGCCTCTTAGAATTTGGGGTCCACATGAACACATGCTTGGTGTGATTTTTAAGCTGCCTAGTCTGAGATTTGAACTATGGTCACTTCTATGGTAGTCCAGCATCTTAACCACTTTGCCACATACTGGCCCCTTGTTTTGATTTTTTTTTTTCTTTTTTTAGAGAGGTTTTTTGCTATAGGGCGCGTGTGCTAGCCAGAAAAACAGAGAGAGACAGAAAGTGAGAAATCGCCCCTCCCAGGGAGGATGACCACACTGCAATCCCTTCTTCTCCATTCTCCTCTTAGGATCTTGGGCATGCATGCACACGTGACCATTGTGAGTTTAAGCCACCAGGTCCAGGACTTGAACTGCGATCGACTACACGGGAGTTCAGCGACATAGCCATTACACTAACTGCTGGTCCCGGTTCATTTCCTTTCTCTTAAAAATTTTCTTTTCTTTTTGTGATAGGGCATGCAAGTTTGCTGGAGAGAGATGGGGAGGAGAGAAAGAGAGAGAAAGTGAGAACGTCTCCCTCAGGGGGATGACCATGCCACAGTCCCTTTTCCTACATTTTCCTCTTGGGATTTTGGTCACATGTGCACATGTACCCGGTGTTGTTTTGAAGCTGTCAAGTCCAGGACTCAAACTATAGTCAGCCATGTGGGATCCAGGTATGGGGCTGGCTCTCCTTTCTTTTCTTAAAAAAAGGTAATTAAAAGTAACCAACAGCCTTTGTTCACAAATATGCAAGTAGATCATCTCTCCACTCAATGAGAACATCTTAATTAAAAAAAAAAAAATTGGGGGAGGGCAACTCCATGGCCTGGTAGTTAAGGGAGCAAACACACCAGGCACATTTGTATATGTGCCCAAATCCTGAAAGGAGGACGAGATGGTGGAAAAGGGACTGCAGCGTGACCATTTCCCATGGGGATGGCACTTTCTCCTCTCCCCCTCTTCTCTTCCCTTCTTTGTCTCTCTCTGGTCAGCACAAATGCTCTTTAACACACACACACACACACACGAGGAAAAGTCTTTCTGAATTTTAAAAGATTGGGTTAAAGAACCTTCTTTTTTGTTTAATTTTTAAAAATTTATTATAATTTTTCAATTTGACCAGAGCGAGAGAGAAAGTAAGAAACCAAGCTGCCAGGTCCAGGACTTGAACCTTGGTCAGTCATGTGTGAGTCCAGCACCCCAACCTCCATGCCACCTTCTGACCCAAAGAAATTATTTTCTAAAGGTTACTAAATGGTGAACTCATCTTTCTGTTAAAATCTCTAATGACCAGAAATTCAGCTGCATTATATAAACTAAGTTTTTATCACCCTTTCATCTGGTAGGTTATCATGAAATACAAAAAAGAAATATGAATCCCTTTTCCAGAATGATTAACAAGTTCAGTTATACAAATTCACTGCTTGGTTTCCATCAGGTATGGAAGCCAAACAGTTCCAGGAATCTGACCTGAAGACTTTTAACAATGGCAAACAGATGAAAGCCTATACCATCTCTAGGGGAAAAAAGATTTCACCTGTAGATACGAGTTTCCTTCAAAGATGGAACATAATACTTTGTCACAGAAGAAGAGGACAACATCAATAAGTTAACAGTGGTGGGCCTGGCTGTGGTGCAGGGGTAGCCCTGCTCTGCACGGCTAACAGCCATATGGAAGACGGGGGGTTGCTCCCCAGGTCGAGCTGCTCATCTTGGCTGACTGGGAAGGCTGGGGGAACGAACTGTGGTATGAGGTCTCAATGGGAGTACTTGTTCTGTTTCCCTCTAATGGAAGAAACAAACTTACATAAACAATAATAGTGGTGGATAGTATTATAATTGTGACCTGAGAATGGTAGAGGGGATAGGATTAGCTTTGTCATGAAAGATAAAAAGACAGTAAGTGGGATGGGAAGAAAGAATCATTTTCAAATTTCAAAAGGAGGGACCAGCAGGTGGTGTGGTGGCTAAGGCACTAGACACTCCCACATGGCTGACCACCGTTTGAGTCCCAGACCTGGTGGCTTGCTTTCTCACTTTCTTTCCCTCTCTCTCTGTGCATCTCTCTCTAGTCAAATTAAAATGGATGAATGAATAAATAAAATTAAATAAATAATTCTCTAACATTTTTTTTCAAAAGGAAAACTTCCCAAAAGGCCCACAGGATTGGCTATGTGGGATCTAGCCACCTTAACTACCAGGCCACAGGCTGGTTCCCCACTGTTACATTGTGATGACAGAGAGAGACAGACACAGAAAATGAGGGAGCAAGCCACCAGGTCCGAGACTTGAACCACGGTTGGCCATGTGGGATTCCAGTACCCTTAACCACCATACTACCTCCCGGCCCCCAGCTTTCCTTTCTTTCTTTTTTTAAAATTAAAAAAATTATCTATTTATTTAATTCTATTTGTTGCTCTTATTAGTATTATTACTTATTTTGACCAGACAGACAGAGAGAAAGGGAAAGCGAGAAAGCAAGTTGCCAGATCTGGGATTTGAACCACGGTTCGTCATGAGGGAATCCAGTACCTTTAGCCATCATGCCACCTCCCAGCCCCGATTTAGCTTTTCTTGACATCTGAAATGATTCAAAATCTTTTCAGGCCATCATCCCTGGTGGATGGTTCATTAAGTGAGTTGTCACATGGTAATATTTGCCATGATTTTTTTTTTTTTGGAGAGGTTTTTGCCTTATGTCACATGCACTCGCCAGAGAAAGAGAGCGACAGTGAGAGGGAAAGTGAGAAATAACCCCTGGGAGTATGGCCATGTCACAGTCCCTTCTCCTCCACCCTCCTCCCGGGATCTTGGGCACGCACGTACATGTGCCTGGGTTGATGTTCAAAACACTGGGCCTGGGACTTGAACTGTGATGGGCATGTGGGAGTCCAGTGACTCCATTGTTATGCCCTTTGCTAGTCCCCGTGGTGATGTTTTATATGATTCAATTGTGTATTTCTAAGAATGTGAATTATACTGATTAACACCTATGCCTACTCATCAACCAAGCAGCATTTATCAAATGTCTTTGATAACAAGAAGATTAATTATACCTTAATGACTGTAAATACTTAAAGGTTATAAACATACATGCTTTTCTGAATTTCTCTTAAAATGCCTGGGTCTATGACCTTCCTTTATAATGAGGAGGGTCATTTTTTGAGCTAGGGGAAAAGAAGTCATGGTTTGTATAATGTATCAAGAAACTGTAATTAGTTATAGAAGAAACAACTGTAATTATACTAAGTCTCACCAGTTCTCAAAGAATTACAGTAAATTACCATACACGAATGGTCTTTAGGAGCATAACTGACTTCGGCAGTGCTTTTTGTTCCTTTCTGCCTTTCCTATGTGAAATTGAATGCTTGCTTTCTGAGATCACTAAATGAAAAGAGTTTACCTCTTTTCTTTCTTTACTAATTGATTTCTAGGAGGCTCATGTGCTCACTGGAAAGAAATGAAAGAGGGGAAAGTGGGAAAGCAACCCTATGGGGCATGGTCATTCTGCACTCCCTTCTCCTCCCTCTCTCACTCTTCAGGATTTTGAGTATGCGCATACAAGTGCCTGGTGTATTTCCCAAGCTGCTGGATTCAAGACTTAAACTGAACAGCCAGCCATGTGGGATCCAGCTGCCCAATCACCAGGCCACGGAGCCCCCTATTTTCCTTAGAAACAAGTATATGTCTCTATTTTTGGACATGTCAGATAGGAAAAAGCCATGGCAGACTTTGGGACCTCGGTAACAAAGAAGTTTTTACACCTAGAAGAATACAGGTCTTGGGAGAGACAAAGGATTTGCATCTGGAGAGATAGCAAGATGAATGGAAGTGGAAATTCGAGAAATGGCCATTGATAAGCCTCAAGATAACAGCAGTTTGAGTAAACAGTCTGTATCAGGTACTGCCTATTAAATAATAGCACATGACCAGAAATGAGATGAGGGCAAACCTTTGAAAAGTTCAACACTGGTAAACATGTTATAAATGTACAGTATCTAGTCACAACTACCCAAAAAGGATGCCACAACAGATAATAATCGAATGCCACGTGGGAACGTTGATTGTGTCCTAGTGGTGTGTATGTGTGTATCTGGGAACAGGCAGAGCAGGGAGAGCAGCTGGGAAAGGTAGCCTTAGCACAGCTGGGGAAACACAAGCATCACTCGTGGCGGGTGCTGGTGCTGCCTCCCCGTGGAGGGACACTCCCCTGGTGTGTGCCTCCACGTGTCTGACCCATCTCCACCCTCTGTTGCTCACTAAGGGCTCTTAGCTGTCCCCTCTCAGCTCCAGCCTGAGCCCATGGGAGCTCTGGAATGTAAACTACACCACACTCCCACTCCAAGGAAGAGCTCAGTCCCTATCAGTCACTGTCTACAGGTTATGGTGAAGCGTGAGTGAGGGGGCCCAGGACAATTCTCTGAAATATCTAGAGAATAAAGTGTCACAGTATCTGCAACTTTTAAATAGTGCAGTTGAAATTCACACACATACACACTAACACACAGATAAAGCAAGTATGGCAAAATGTGCTAAGTGTCAGTTCTGGTTGGAGACTTTAAAAGGGTTCACTGTAGGGAACCAGCAGTTAGCGTAATGGCTATATGGCTGGACTCCCACGTAGTCGACCGCGGTTCACGTCCCAGACCCAGTAACTTAAAACTCACGCCGGGCGTGTGTGTGTGCGTGCCCAAGATCCTGAGAGGAGAATGGAGGAGAAGGGACTGTGGCGTGACCATCCCCCCTGGGGGGTGATTTCTTGCTTTCTGTCTCTCTCTGTCTGTCTGGCGAGCGCCACGCGCCCTAAAACAAAAAAAAAAAAAAAAAAAAGCGTTCACTGTATTATTCTTTCAAGTTTTCTGAACCTTTGAAAATTTTCATAATAAAAATTTGAAGGAAAGCTGGCCCCCACATGGACAACTGTAGTTACAATCTCAGCCCCCGTGGTTTAAAAAACACACTGGGTGTGTGTGCCCCAAATCCTGACAGGATGGAAAAATAGAGATGGGTTACAATCTCTCAGGAGTGCACCTGCCCTCTGGCAATTAAACAAATTTAAAAGGGGGCCAGCAGGTGGCGTGGTGGTTGGGGCTGCTGGATTCCCACATGGCAGACAGTGGCTCGAGTCCTGCACCTGGTGGCTTCCTTTTTCAATTTCCCTCTCTCTGGTTAAATTGGAAAATAATTAATAATAATAATAATAATAAGTTAAAATAATTCTTAAAATAATTTTTTTATAGAAAAAAGGGAGGGTGTGTCAACCCAAGCCTGTTCTTTTTCTGGTGGGTTGTCTTCCAGAGACAAATGTCCAGATCTGACCAGCAGTCCAAAGAAAACCTGCCAGCCATCTTGACTATACATTCTCCCTCATTTCCCACTTTAGGATGGTCATGTCATGTCAGTTCTATGTCTGAAATAATCTCCCCTCTTATTACCCTAATCCAAGCTAGTTAACTTTTCTAGCCTGGACTAATGCAACAGCCTCTTAATTGGGTATCTTTCCTCCAGTGTTACCACCGCTAATCTATCCATGTGTCATTATTCAGCTAGATTCATCATGCTAAACTTGAATTATAATCACTGTATTCCCTCCTCATTGCTTATGCTAGGATAAGCTAACTCCTTGGCATGGTGCATAGGCCTCTGTAACACAGCTCCTGGCTTACCTCTCTAACTTTATCCTCTGCATTTGTACTCACATCCTGTGCATGATCCATTCTGAACGGTTTAACAATCCCCTGAATATGCCGTGACCTTCTTTAGCTTTTGAATCTAGGAATACTATGCCTGGAATATCTATCTCCCTCTCTGTGTTGCTGGCAAATCCCTACTCATACTTTAAGAAATTACTCCAATTTTCTCCCTCTGGGAAGGGTTCCCTACATCACTCTCGTGGTGTAGTTAAGTTGTTGCTTTTTGAATCTCCACAGCACACTTCTTAAAGATCTCTCTTACATTTATTACATTGCTGTTACCTGTTTACACATCTGTTTTACCAGTACCAGGAAGACAGGAATTGGACTCTTCAGATTTGTCTAATATCCAGTGTGATGTCTGCCTCTGTGCGTAATAAATATGTCATGGGTAGTCGATGTTTTTTTAGTATCATAAACTTACTACAGCTGGTGAAGGAACGTGAATACTTGGGACAGATCGAGGCCGCACATGGTTGGCCAAATGGCAAAGAACAACACCATCGGTTAGAGCTGCTCCAAGATCACAAGGCAGAGATACTTTCAACCGGTACTCAATATGCTGAAGAAACAGGAAAACAAATTGTATATTAACTGGAGAGTGAGTGACACACAGAACAGAAAACAATTGTTACAATGGGATATATTTGATTAGAAATTCAGAGAAAAAGGAGATAAAATTTAAGTGACACAATCATTATTTTATCTTCCTCTCCTAAGTTGATAACATACACATATGGTAGCCAAGCCACTGTGGTGCAAAGCATGACAGAAATTCTAATGTGGTTTTCTAGTTTTTAGACAATTAGATTATCTTTAATTGCTAATATAATATACAGTTAATCCATAACTATGTACATATATGTCTACACACATAAATTATTATTACTCTTACAAGTTGTCTTTATAACATGAGGCAGAAAATAATTTATTTTTAAATAAGTGGGGCCAAGAATTGAGATTTATAGAATAATCCATCCCATCTTCTTACTAAACAGTAGAAAAGAATGACCTTAATAGCACAATTTCTTTTATATGTATCACAAAACAAAGAACACAATGGATACTTGTTGATTCTAGCAAAAATCCTATGTCTAATGAACAAGTGATTGCAAGATTATGAACTACAGCAGTATCGAGAAGGAAGTGAAATCCAAAGGTAAAGCACACACTTTCCGTAGTTGGTCTATTAGTTCCAGCTCTTCTTCTCTTTGTCTCGAATTCTGTCTTGTTACAGGAGCTGTACAATCAGTGGTGGGTGCAGAAGATGGAAGGGGTGCAGCATGACCTAGAAAAACATTGACTTGTGATACAGGAAGAGGATAGCCAGCGCTAGGAAAATACACACATATGCCTGCTCACAGTTTCCCTGCACATATTGCACTTTCTATTTCCCAGAGGGACTTTTTAGAAAGGTTTATATTATGGAAAATTTCAGATATACACAACAATAGAACAGTATAAACAACTGTAAAATATCCAATACTCATCTGGCTCAACTACTTTTGTTTGATTATATCTACTTCAAAATCTTTTTAATTGAAAAATAATACATGTATAGAAAAATTGCATAAATCATAAGCACAGAGCTCAGTCAATTCTCACAAAGCAAATCCTCGTTCTCTAAATGCAACGTGAGAACAAGCAGAAGCCCGTCTTGTGCTTCGCACCATCAGTACCCACAGGTTACCAGTATCCTTATTTTTAGCATCATGAGTTACTTTTGTCAGTTTCTATAAATTAAAACACAGCATCCTTTGGTGTCTGACATCTTTCGACAAATGTGTTTATGAAATTTATCCACACTGTTGCATATAGTACTTTGTTTATTTTCAAATGAACAGATTTTATGTGGTTATGTGGTATTCCATTGTACAAATATACCACTATTTGTCTATATACTCTATTGATGGGTATTTGTTTTGGGGTTATTGTGAATAATGCTATTGTGAATTTTTTTATCCACATTTTTTGAAATCCATTTGTATGTTTCTGAAAGTAAAATTGCTGGTCACAGGGTACACAATATTCAACCTGAGTAGATAATGCAAACAACTTTCCATATTAATTTGTACTCTCACTGGCAGTGTGTCTCTGTTTTGATTTTTATTTATTTATTTATTTGTTTGTTTATTTTAGGCTTTTAACAGAGGGTACATGTGCTCATTGGAGAGAGACAGAGCAAGATAATAAGAGGGGAAGTGAGAAGTCGCCCCCCCCCCCACCGCCGGAGGATGGCCATGCTGCAATCCCTGCTCCTCCATTCTCCCACTGGAATTTTGGGCAGGCATGTACACGAGCCCAATGTGATTTTCAAGCCAGCAAGTCTGAACTACAACTGTGGTCCAAAAGACGCTGGACTTGTGGTTTGATTTTGAAAGCTTGCCGTGACTATGGTAGCCAGTTTCATGATAAATAGCTATTTGGGGGCTGGCCTATAGAACAGTGGTTCAGTGCTGTGTAGAGGTGGCCAGATCCCACAGAGCTTACTACAGTTCTTTCTTTTTTTTTTGGAGAGGTTTTTACTATGGGGCATGTGAGCTTGTCAGACAGACAGAGACAGACAGAGAGGGAGAAATCACCCCCCAGTGGGGATGGCCACGCAGCAATCCCTTCTCCTCCATCCTCCTCTCGGGATCTTGGGCACACATGCACATGCGCTGACGTGAATTTAAGCCACTAGATCCAGGACTCAAACCGCGGTCGACTATATGGGAGTCCAGCGACATAGCCATTATGCCAACTGCTGGTCCCCTGACTTCGGTTCTAACCTCAGCCCTGGCAGCAACATGCTGTGCATGTGTCAGTGTGCGCCCTGGATCCTGAAGGACTGGATGACGGAGGAAAAAGGACTGTGGCATGACTAGCCCTGTTGGGGGTTATGCATGCACTCATCCCCATCCCCTTCTCTCATGTGTGCACGTGCTCTTATCATGTATAAAAATAAACTTTGTAAAAAGCTATTTGTTACTTAAAATGTTTGTTTCCATTTCTAGGTAATTCTTCTGGAGGCTAGACAAAAATCTGTCATATTAACTAAAAAAAAAAAAGACTCTTTAAGTAGATTTTTAAAAAGTGTTACTGTTTCATTTCTTTAAGAACACAGAAAACAGTTTCTATCAATGTAGAAAAATCAGAAAAAGGAAAAAATCATTACAAGGAGGAACATTCTCTCAAGCCTTGAAGGAGCATTGTACTTGTTTACTCTATAACCTACTATTAGGTGTTACTAAGGAACTTTCTTTTTTGTTTTACAAATTTATTTATTTTTAATTTAAGTTATGATTATTCTTCAGTTTTGACCAGAGACTGACAGAGAGAAAGAGAAAGTGAGAAAGCAAGCCACCAGGTCTGGGATTCAAACCACAGTTGGCCATGTGGGAGTCCAGCACTTTAATCACGCCATTGCCAGCCCAAGAAACTTTCTAATAAAATATGTAAATGTTACATACACACACACACACACACACACACACACACACACACACACACATTTTTTTTTCTTTAACTGCTAGAGAGCAAGTGCAATTGCCAGAGAGATAAAAAGAATCCCTCCAGTAGGGTACTGTCACTCTATAATCCTTTCTCCTCCATTTCTCCATCCTGTTGGCATTTTGCATAGGTATGCGCATGTGCTTGGTGTTTTTCACGCTGCTGAGCCTGGGATATGAACCACAGTCAGCCATAAGAGAACTGGCTTCACTAACTACTAGGATATGGGACTGAAAATCTAATTATCTATTCATCTACATGTGTGTTTGTGTACACGTGTGTGTGTTTTTAGATTCTCCAGATTTAATGTCTGCGAGAGCACAGACACACGCATAATTGAAAGCTTTTGCCAAGGTGATAAGCTTGTAGAAATTTACAAGCAGTCGGAACCAGCCAATGGCATAATGGTTACATTGCTGGACTCCCACATGGTCAATCACAGTTTGTGTACTGGGGGGGCAGGGCGCATGCGCGAGTGTGCCTAAAATCCCAGTAAGAGAATGAAGGAGAAGAGACTGTGGCATAGCCATACCCCCAGGTGGGTGAGTTCTCGCTTTCTGTCTCCCTATCTCTCTGGTGAGTGCACACACCCTATAGTAAAAAATCTCTCTTAAAAAAAGTAGTTAATGTCATAGTGTAAAGCTGTTTCCCCTGATCCCTGCCTTTTAAAATCAATACCACTTACCTTTATTTGTTTCAGCCCTAACGGCTGCTCGGAAAAGGAAACTTTCAGGGCGTTGGGGCTGATTTCTCTGGTTAGCAGCAGGAAAAGAATATGCAGGGGAATGATGAACTAAATCAGCGTGAAAAAAAGCAAAATCAGGTTAAAAGAGATAGAAACATGGAGGTAGACAAGCGATGAAAGTGTAGTAAACAAATAAAGAAAAAATATCAAATTAAACATGGCAATGATATAAAATGATTGTTTTATTATTAGTGAAAAGACTAGTACAGAAAAGTAATCCTGAAAGCAAGCGGAATGCTTGGATGTGGTTCTGTCACGTTTTCGATATATCAATAAAGGCAGAATGAATGTTAACATAGCTGTATGTCTTGCAAAATTATTACAGGGCTGAGTAGCTGAACAACTAGGTGAATTAAAAAATGGCAAATGTGCAAAAGTTAACAATCTTTCTCTGATTACCACCTCAGAAAGAGAAGCTATAGCATTCTAAGAAGTGACTTATTAGGAAAATCCTGGTAAGGAATTAAAATCCTGATGATCTTGATATGGTTACTTGAGTATATTACCTGTTTCTGTTATTGATGAACTTGATACGGCATTAGATCTGTCATCATTCTGTGGAGAAAGAGAGAGGTATGAACAGTTATCATTCAAGAAGAGCCACTTTTGACATTTATGATAATCTCGGGATTATAAAAAAAAAAAACAACCCTTTCAAGTCTTCTTCGAAGTTAACTCGAGAAACGAGAATTTGGCAAATTTGGAACTGTGTGTGTGTGTGTGTGTGTGTGTGTGTGTGTGTGTGTTTAAAGCCAAATTTTATAGGGATCAGCAGTTAGCGTAATGGCTGTGTCACTGGACTCCCATGTAGCTGACTGCGGTTCGAGTCCCGGACCCAGTGGCTTAAACTCACGCCGGTCGGGTGTGCATGCATGCCCAAGATCCCAAGAGGAGAATGGAGGAGAAGGGACTGCGGCGTGGCCATCCCTCCCGGGGGGTGATTTCTCGCTTTTTGTCTCTCTCTGTCTGTCTGGTGAGCGAGCGCACGCACCCTATAGCGAAAAGCCTCTCAAAAATAAATAAATAAATAAATAAATAAGTCAAATTTTATTTAGGCCTTTTCTAATGTCATGAAAAATGACCATCCTGAGAGAGAATATGTTATTGGGAAGTACATAGGAAAGATAGAATAAGTTTTCCCTTTAAAGTTTTTAAATTTTATTTCTCTCATGAAAGGACACAAAACAGGAATCCCTTGGAGGGTCTTATCACACTGTGATCCCTGCCCCTATCTTCTGACCAGCCAAGATTATGGGCCTGTGTGCATATCTGACATATGTAAGTGCCCTGGGATCCAAATCCCAATTGGCCATGTGCTTCAAGTACTGCAGAGGGGTGAGTTACCACCTGTGCCACCATGGCTGGGCCCAAATTTTATTTTGTATAGTATTTCTCTAGAATAACTTCTATTTTATCCTCTGAAGAATATAACATGATGTATTTTTAAAAAGAGTGATAGAGGGTTGGCTGGGACCATGGTGGTTAAGGCAACTATAACCCAAATGGCCAAGTCTGAGGTTTGAGCCCTGGACCGACCAGTTGGCAAACATGGCAACTGTGTGCGTGTCTGAAATTCTAAGAGAAGAATGGAGAAGAGAAAGCAGTGTGGCCATCTCCCCGAGGGGTAATTTCTCACTTTCTCTCTCTTCTCTTTCTGCTAAGCACATGATGCACCCTGTAGCAAAAATAAATAAATAAATAAAAATAAGAAAGTGTGATGGGGTTCCCCCCATTTCAGTTAGGAATAAAAGTGTCTAGGATGATAGATTTTGAAAGATACATTTTTTTTTTTTTTTGAAGAGGTTTTTGCTATGGGGCACGTGCGCTTGCCAGACAGACAGAGACAGAGAGACAGAAAGCGAGAAATCCCCCCCCTAGGGGGGATGGCCACACTGCAATCCCTTCTCCTCCATTCTCCTCTCGAGATCTTGGGCACGCACACACGCTCCTGGCGTGAGTTTAAGCCACAGGGTCCGGGACGTGAACCACGGTCGACTACATGGGAGTCCAGTGACATAGCCTAAGCTAACTGCTGGTCCCGAAAGATACATTTCTTAGACTACTCTTCAAGTCCAAGATGTTTTCAATTCACTTATCAAAAGAACTGTATAAAGGAGGAAGTGCTAGTTAAACAAGTATGAACTTTATCTAAAAAAAGGGAAATGTAGTTAATTTAAAGAGAAATGTTGGCTTATTGGGTTAAAGATGCTGAAGATTGGGGCTGGCAGGGGGTGTGGTAGTCAAGGGCACTGGACTCCCACATGGCCAACCACGGTTCAAGTCCCAGACCTGGCAGCTTGCTTTCTCACGTTCTCTCTCTGGTCAAATTAAAATGAATAAATAAAGTTAAGTACAATAATTAAAAATAAACTTTGTGAGAAAAAAAAAAGATGTTGAAGATCTGGCAGGGGAGTAGAATCAAGAAAAACTAGAGGAGTTGGCAGGTGGCATGGTGGTTAAAGGTGCTGGACTCCCATATAGCCAACCGCAGTTCAAGTCCTGGACTTAGCAGCTTGCTTTCTCACTTTCTCTCTTACTGTGTCTCTCTCTGGTCAAAGTAAAATAAATAAAGTTAAAAAAAAAAGAAAACTGGAATAACATCTACAATTTTTCAGGTCTTGACATCTAATCACATTTAAATGTAGTTTGAATATAACTTTACCATAACTGAGGCACATTCCTGAAATAACAGAATGACTTAAAACTAACACATATTCATATATTTTCTCTCATGTCTGCTCTTCCCTTGGTTTAAATACTCTTAGGATTGTATCTCTAATAATATTTGGATCAGATTAAATTAATGACAACAGAGAATTTTAGCTGTTAACAAAAAAATGATACACAGAAGTCATACAATTGAGAAAATTCCAGAACTGAAGATAATTTTCTGTTCATGATTCCTTAGTCTGATACTTGTAAACTGAGAATTAAGATTTTAAAAGTAAGTTGTACTCTTGAGTAAAGCAATGTGTTACATTTTCAGGGAAAAATAAATGTTCGTCAAGTTTATAAATAAAAATGAACTAATTTGGGGTGTTGTAAAAGAAGTGTTACTTAAACAACAAGTTTAGTTTATTATTTTTTTTAAAGAGCTTTTTGCTATAAGGAGTGTGCGCTTGCTGGAGAGACAAAGACAGAAAGTGAGAAATCACCCCCTGATGGGGTGGCTGCGCCACAATTCCTTCTCCTTCATTCTCCTTTCGGGATCTTAGGCACACATGCACATGTGACCAGAGTGAGTTTAAGCTGCCAAGTCCAGGACTCAAAGTGCAGTCAACTATGTGGGAGTCCACCAACACAACTGATGCACCACCCGCTGGTCCCAAATAACAAGTTTAACCTAACATAAGAGTAACAGGGACCAGTAAAAGGAATGAACTGACAAGGCAAAAGCTGGATATCTATATAAGAAAACAAAAGACTCCTTGTTTTTGAAGGATGTGAGATAGGAAAGAGAATGTTAGCTAGGCAAAGACATGCTAAATGACCACTGGTTCAAAGACAAACATATTAGAGGTAGAGATTACTCAAGATATAAAGGAAAACTTATTTTTTAAATTTAAAAAGACTTACTAATAGTACACAGGCTACAATTTTTTTTTTTGGGAGGATTTGCTATAGAGTATATGCACTCACCAGAAAGAGAGAGAGAGACAGAGAAAAAGAAAGCGAGAAATCACCCCCCGCCGGGGGGTGGTGGTGGCCATGCTGCAATCCCTCCATTCTCCTCTCGGGATCTTGGGCACGCACATACACATGCCCAGCATGAGTGAGTTTAACTGCAGTTGACTACATGTGAGTCCAGCGAGTAGCCATTACACCAACTGCTGGTCCCCACAGGCTACAAATGTAAAGAAATTAAAAGAGAAACAATGATTTACAACATGTCCCAGCAGGACAGAGAGATGGAGAAGAGACTGTGGCATGACCATGTCCCTACAGGGTACTTTCTCTCTCTCTCTCTGGCAAGTATACATGCCCTCTGGCAAATAAAAAACGAGAAAGAGAGGGAACCAGCAGTTAGCATAATGGCTATGTCGCTGGACTCCCACATAGTCGACCGTGGTTCACATCCTGGACCCAGTGGCTTAAAACCCACGCTGGGCGCGTGTGCGTGCGTGCCCAAGATCCTGAGAGGAGAATGGAGGAGAAGGGATTGCGGCGTGACCATCCCCCCCTAGGGGGTGATTTCTTGCTTTCTGTCTCTCTGTCTCTCTCTGTCTGTCTGGCGACACGCCCTATAATGAAAACCTCTCCAAAAAATAAAAAATAAAAAATAAAAGAGAAAGAGAGAAGAAAATTTCCACTCTAGAAAGAAAAGATGAAATAAGCATAAACCATAGCAAGACAGATATGTTAGACAAAGAGAGGGCCACCTTGACAGAATTATTAAACATTTATGTTTCTTATAATATCAAATATGGAATTATTGTTCTTAAAGGCCTTCAAAAAAACCAAAATACTACAGATTCTTCTTTTTTTTAATTGGTACATGGTGCAAGCACTTTCTGGAGAGAGAGAGACAAAGAGGGAATGGGCAAAAGCACCCCTCAGAGGGGTGCAGTCACACCACAACATCTCCTCCATTTCTCCGTCTCATTAGGACTTGGGGTACACATGCCCTGGTGTGTGTGTGTGTGTGTTTTTCTTTTTTTTTTTGGAGAGGTTTTTGCTTTAGGGTGCGTGTGCTCGCCAGAAAGACAGAGAAAGACAGAGAGACAGAAAGCGAGAAATCACTCCCCGGGGGGATGGCCATGCTGCAATCCCTTCTCCTCCATTCTTCTCTCGGGATCTTGGGCACGCATGCACACACACCCGGTGTGAGTTTAAGCCGCTGGGTCCAGGACTTGAACTGTGGTCGACTATGTGGGAGTCCAGCGACATAGCCATTGCGCTAACTGATGGTCCCTACACTGGTGTGTTTTTATAAACCCTCTAGGACTGGGATTCGAACTGCAGTTAACTGTGTTGGTTGGATCTGGCTCCCTTAAACACTAGGCTACAGGGCCTGGTCTACTACAGGTTCTTCCTTTTTAGTTTAGGTTCGGTTTCTCTAGATGATGAAATTATAATTGCTTAATAACATTACTGTTGATATTAAACTGCGCTGGCATTTTTTTTTTTAAAAGAGAGATGTTTTGCTATAAGGCGTGTGTACTCGCTGGAGAGACAGAAAAACAGAAAGTGAGAAATCACTCCCTGGGGGGATGGCCATGCCACAATCACTTCTCTTCCATTCTCCTCTTAGGATTTTGGGCACACACTCACACGCGTGCACCCAGCATGAGTCTCAAGCTGCTAGGTCCAGCACCTGAACCACAGTTTGACCATGTGGAAGTCCAGAGACAAAACCATTACACTATCCACTGGTCTCGATATATTTATTTTCCTAAAAGGACCAGACAGTAAAATTTTAGACAGTATGATATCTGTCTCAACTATCCCAACTCTGCTGTTTCCTGTGAAAGCAGTCATAGACAATGCATAAACAGAAGTGACTGGCTGTATGTATATCAATAAAAATTTATTTATAGCAACAGGTGGCATAGGGGCCATAGTTAGCTGATCTCTATTACAGAGGGTTCTGGCAACAGTTCTGCAGACTAAATGACAAATTATTTGCATGCATATTAAATGACATAGTTAATATTTATATGCTATATAAGGTATTATATAGAGCATTATATATTAACCTGTGTAAGATAATATCTCAGACAAAAAAATCCTTGCTAAGAAACTCAGAATGACATTTAAAACAGAATCTGCACATAAAGAAGTAAATGCAAGCTCTAAGATTATTTCTGGCATAAAACTTTCAAAACACTTTGAGTGAAATCAATGCTCAATTCAAAGTTTCATTAAGTTTAGGAATATTTCATGAAACCTTACATTTCAGATTTCTGTTAGACCAATCCATTAGAAATTTAAGACCTCCCATCCCCACCCCCATCCCCATGGTAAATTACAATAACAAGCAATACCTTAAGTGGCGTGAAGGCAGAAGGAGGCAGGGGAGCAGTACAGCCCACTTGATCCAACCCTGACAGTGACTGAATTTCAAAAAAAAAAAAAAGAAGAGAAGAAACAGAATGCAGCATTTATGTTAGTAAAATGTCAAGTAGGTAGATCTGATCAGTGAAATCAGAAAAGGAAAAGTCATTCACAAACTATGAACAGGGCGGAAAGAGAACATTTCAGAAGAAAACTTACCACTAACACAACATTGTTTTTCTTTTTTTTTAAATTGTATTTCACTTTGTTTATTTATTAATTTATTTAAATTTGACCAGAGAAGGACAGAACAAGTGAGCAGGAGAGAGAGGGAAAGTGAGAAAGCAAGCTGCCAGGTCCAGGACCCAACCTATGTCAGCCATGTGGGAGTCCAACGTCCCTGACCACCATGCCATATGCTGGCCCCCACAACATTGTTTTTCTACCTGCATACTTCAGGGTATTCTCAATAACTTGTACTATGTTAATTAAGAAGTGAGAGACATGCTTTATTAAAAATGATCTTATCTAGAAATAAAAAAAGAACATCAACATTTTTAGCAACATACATTTGAAACTGAGTTCTGCGCTGTCCCTATGATGGTGGAAACAAATCCAGACAAAGCTCATTTTAACTGAGTAGAACTGGCACGAATAAGAACAAAGTTTTTTCAATACTAGTCCGAATTAGATTATAACTTAATTTAAAAGATGTGACATGAGAAGAGAGGACATGAGTATTCTGCATTACTGTAAGGATGGACCAACCAGCATTTCATTTCCGCATCTATAATATTCCAAATGAACTAAAAGAGGGGAGTGAAATTTCCCTTTCTGAACTCTTTCTTTTCACCAACCATCATACAATTAGTTAGCTATGTTAGAGATATAGTTAAGGATACTAAATGAAGAATCCATGTATATATAATTTACCAATTAAAAACCAAATCTATCAGGATCAGCAAGTGGCATGGTGATTAAGGTGCTGGAATCCTGCATGGTCAACCATGATTTGAGTCCCAGACCCGGTGGCTTGAGAATCACATTGGGCATGTGTACATTTATGCTCAAAATCCAAAAGGGAGAATGGAGGAGAAGGGATTGTGGCATGCCCTTTTCCCTTAAGGGGTGACTGTTTATCTTTCCTGTCTCTTTCTCCAGTGAGCCCACACACCCTATGGCAAAACCTAAAAAAAAAAAAAAAAAAAAAATTAAAAAACTGAATGTATCTATATAATTATTATAGTTAAGAGACTCTCAAAACATGACAATTATTTCGTTTGCCACATGACAAGTAGACAGAGGAGAAAAGGATTTCACAAAATGTACTGTATAAGATTTTACTTATTAAAACTATAAAATGGGGCCACCCCATAGCCTGGTGGTTAAGGCATCTGAATCCCACATGGCTGACTTTTTTGTTCAAGTCCTGGACCTGGCAGCTTAAAAACGCACCAGGTGCATGTGCATGGATGCCCACAATCCTGAGAAGAGGAAGAAATGGAGTGGTAGAGATTGTAGTGTGGATATGCCCCATGAGGATGATCTCTCGTGCTCTATTCTCTCCTGGTAAGCGCACATACCCTCGGGGGTGGGGGGGGGAGAAAGAAAGAAAAAAGAAAATGAACTACAACAAAATACCAAAAGTGTGAAGATATTAATATCTTTGGGCCAGCCCCTGGCCTAGTAGTTAAGAGATTCCACATGGCCAACTGCACAGTTTGAACCTTGGCCCTGGAGGCTTGGGAAATATGCTGGGCCTAAATCCTGACAAGAGACAGAAATGAAGAAGGGACTCCAGCATGATTATGCCAAACTCTGGCCTCCTGAGTTCAATGACCCACTGGCAAATACTAATAATAATTTTAACAAGGTATTAACGTCTTTCATAAGTTAAATAATCAGAAAATTAGTTAAACTAGAGGGCCAGCAGTTGGTGGGGAGCTTGAGGCACTGGGTCCCACATGGCCAGATATGCAGTTTAGGTCCCAGACTGGAGCTTGATAATCATGCTGGGCGTGTATGTGTGTACAAAACCCCAAGAGAGACTGGAGGGAAAGGGATTGTAGTGTGGCCATTCCCCTGCTGATGGGAGCAGAGGATGAATTCTCACTTCCCCTTGTATAACTGGTGAGCACAAGTGCCCCATAGCAAAAAAAAAAAAAAGATTTTCAACTAGGACCACAAATTTCTGAACAGAATAAATGTGTAAGAATACATGTGGACATTTAGAAAAAGGTGAATATGTAACATTTTTTAAAGAATTATTTAATTTCTGGGACCAGCAGTTAGCGTAATGGCTATGTCGCTGGACTCCCACGTAGTTGACTGTGGTTCGCGTCCAGGACCCGGTGGCTTAAAACTCACGCCAGGAGCGTGTGAGTGCATGCCCAAGATCCCAATAGGAGAATGGAGGAGAAGGGACTGCGGTGTGGCCATCCCCCCTGGGGGGGGATTTCTAGCTTTCTGTCTGTCTGTCTCTGTCTCTGGCAAGCACACGCGCCCTATAGCAGAAACCTCTCAAAAAAACTCAACAATGTCAAAACAATTTTGGGACCAGCAGTTGGTGTAACAGCTGTCGCTGGACTCCCATGTAGTTGACCATGGTTCAAGTCCTGGACCTGGTGGCTTAAACTCACGCCGGACATGTGTGCCCAAGATCCCAAGAGGAGAATGGAAGAGAAGGGATTGCTGCGTGGCCATCTCCCTTGGGGAGTGATTTCTCACTTTCTGTCTCTGTCTTTGTCTTTCTGGAGAGTGCACGTGCCCTATAGCAAAAACCTCTAAAAAAAAAAAACCAAAAAGAATTATTTAATTTTATTTATTACCATTATTCTTTTCAATTTGCTATAGGGCATGTGAATTTATCAAAGGGAGAGAGAGAGAAAAAGAGAGAGGGAAAGTGAGAGAGCAAGCTACCAGGTCTTGAACTCGAACTGTGGTCAGTTCTGTGGGAGTCCAGCACCTTAACCACCATGCCACCTGCTGGCCCCAAAATATATATGTGTGTGTGTGTGTGTGTGTGTATGTATATATATAAAGTATAAATTTTTATACACTATATAATAAATATAATGTAAATATATATAAATAAATAAATAAATAAAAGATTTTTGCTACAAACAAGGGTGGCGCTCACCAGAGAGACACAGAGGGAATGTGAGAAATCACCCCTCAAGGGGGATGGTCATGCTACAATTCCTTCTCCATTCTCTTGGGATTTTAGGCACACACACATGTGGCTGGTGTGATTTTTCAAGTTACCAGTCTGTAACTTGAACCAGAGTCAGACATATGAGATCCAGCACCTTAACCACCATGCCATCTGCTGGCCCCACAATCGTATCTTTAATGAGTGTTATAGATAGAAACATCTTTTTTGTTCTTTGACCAGAAAAAGCATATAATACACAACATATTATTGTAACAAAATCTTTTTTTCAAAGAATTGTTTTTATTTAACTTTATTTATTAATTAATTTATTTTAATTTGACCACAGAGAGAGAGGAAGAGAGAGAGAGAAAGTGGGAAGGAAAGCCACTAGGTCCAGGACTTGAACTGTGGTTGGTCATGTTGGGAGTGTCCAGAACCTTAACCATCACGCCACCTGCCGGTCCCGTAACAAAATCTCTCTCTTTTTTTTTTTTTTGTTGAGAGATTTTCACTATAGGGCGCGTGCGCTCACCAGACAGACAGAGAGAGACATTAGAGACAGAAAGCGAGAAATCACCCCCCATGGGGGATGGCCACGCCACAATCCCTTCTCCTCCATTCTCCTCTTGGGTTCTTGGGCACGCACGCACACGCGCCCAGCTTGAGTTTAAGCCACTGGGTTCAGGACTCGAACCTGGTCGACTACATGGGACTCCAGTGACATAGCCATTACGCTAACTGCTGGTCCCACCGTAACAAAATCTTAAGGCAAGGTAAAATAAAGTAAGAGGAAAAAATACTGTACCAAGGAATAAGACTGCGACAACAGTAATGTAGTCCCTATACTTCACCTGTTTAGATTTCCTGAGCCTTCTTTTAATCAAACATACTGGAACTGCTGTCAATCTCAAGTATAAAAAGGCTAAAAGGCATTATGTTGGCACAGAAGGAACAAAATCAGAAGGAACAGGAAGGAAATGAGCCTATATACTTGCTTTTTGCCGAGAGAAATTTTTGCTATAGGGTGTGCGCACTCGCCAGTGAGACAAAGAAGAGACAGGAAACAAGAAATCACCTCTCGGAGGGATGGCCACACTGCAATCCCTTTTCCTCCACTCTCCTCTTGGGATCTTGGGCATCCAGGCACATGCGCCCGGCATGAGTCTCAAACTGCCGGGTCCGGTACTTGAACCATAGTCGACTACGTGGGAGTCCAGTGATGTAACCATTACACCATTACTTGTCCCGAGCCTATATTCTTTCTTTCTTTTTTTTTTTTTTTTAAGAATTATTTTTTATTTAACTTTATTTATTTTAATTTGACTAGAGAGGAACAGAGAGAGAGAGAGAAAGTGAGAATGCAAGCTGTCAGGTCCAGGGCACGAACCACAGTCGGCCATGTGGGAATCTAACGCTTTTAACCACTATGCCACCTGCCAGCTCTGAGCCTATATTCTTTCTTTTTATTTTTGGAGAGGTTTTTGCTATAGGGTGCGTGCGCTCACCAGAGAGACAGACAGAGACAGAGAGACAGGACCTCCCTCCCTCCCCAGGAGGGATGGCCATGCTGCAATCCCTTCTCCTCCATTCTCCTCTCAGGATCTTGGGTATGCATGCACACGCGCCCAGTGTGAGTATAAGCCACCGGGTCTGGGACTCCAACCGCGGTCAACTACATGGGAGTTCAGCAACATAGCCATTATGCTAACTGCTGGTCCCTGAGCCTATACTCTTTCTAATACTGAGACAGGATACAGATAAATGCAATAGAAGCCTGAGGTGCAGCCCAAGAGAATGTTAGTATAAGTGATATTCAGAATTACTAATACCTATTTCAAACCCTACATTTCAAGGACTTTAAATCAAATTAAGCATTTACCCTGCTGTATCATCAGACCTTCGAACAACTTAGTGGGCAGTTACTGGATGCACAGCACTTACATGTTCACTCAGGAAATATTTATTGAATACCTAAATATATCCCAGGAATTACGGTGGGAACTGAGTATATAAAGGTAAAAGCAACAGAGAATACTTTTGTGCCACGAAGCTTACAGTCTTGGGGAGATATAAAACAATAGGCATGCAAATAAAATTACAATGAATAAAAAAAGTATCAGTGAAGACATAAATTTGATTTGAGCATAGGGGGTTGCCAAAAAGCCATTTAAAGATGTGTCATTTAAGGAGATACCTGCTAGATGCATGGAAATTAATCAAGGGGTTTATATAAGAAAAGGCATTCCATATAGAGGGACTAATATTTGCAAAGATCGTCAGGTGGGACAGGCCTTACCACACTTGAAACACTGAAAAAAATGCTAGTGCAGCATAATCGCAGAGCTGACACTTAAGGCAGACTGAGGCCGAGTACACAGGAGCTTCTAGGCCATGGTAAGGGGTTTAAGAGCAACATAATGCCTTTGAAAAGTAGTTCTGAAAAGATCGCAGACATGATTTAACATATTATTTTTCTTTTATATTGGTAATTGGATATTGCCTGGAATATCTAGTTCAGAAGAAATTACTTACTTCCAAAGGCCATCTAATTTACAAGTCACACATGAATGCTAATAATTAAAATAAAAGTGAATGTGTTTTTACAAATGGCTGAAGGCTGTTTCAAATGACATGTAAGGGAATTCTGTCATTGTTTTCCCAAATTCCACCTTTTTCTTCACAGAAAATTCTGGGCTCTCAGATTTCTTTCATTTAACTATATATGTTATTAAATCTCATCTTTAATTTTCTTAACTGTTAGTGTTACAGTATCAGAGGCGATATAGTACAGTATTTAACACAGGTTCTTAATCTAGCCAGGTCTAGATTTGAACCCGCTCTTGTACTTACTAGCTATGTGATCTTGGACAAGTGACATTGTGGACAAAACATTCTGTGCCTCAATAATCAATCTCTAAAATATAACCTTGACTCTTAAGGTTGCTGTGAGGAATGAATGGGAGAAATTGACAGTGTCTGAATCATCTCAATATTTTTCTACATTAATTATTATTTGTTTTTCATGCCAATTAACTTCCACTAAGACTCCAGTGGCTGGTAACTGTATTCATCTTAAATCTGCCCAGTTAAAATGTGCTCTATCTATTTCAAAGGAAATGAAGACTGCAGAATACACAGAAATTTTAAGACAATGTAAGTCTAACTAGCAGGAATCTCACACTGATGCATGCAGTCACATAGAAGTTTGCACAATGGCAGCAGCTGTAAGTACATAAGACAGGAATTGCTATATACTATAGATTCTGTAACTGCTAGTTTTCAATGTCCTGAGAAAAAAATAACATAAAACATGATGGAAAAAGCAATTCTACCAATGGTTATTTTTCTTGCAAGGCTGATTAAGTAGGACTTTAAATAATGCTCTTGGGGGACCAGCAGATGGCATAGTGTCACTGGATTCCCACATAATCGTCGCAGTCTGAGTCAAGACCTGAAGGACTGAAACTCCCGCTGGTCGCACATATGTGTGTGTCTAAGATCTCGAGAGGAAAATGGAGGAGAAGGGATTGTAGTGTGACCATACTCCCTGGGGGGGGGGGGATTTCTCACTTTTTGACTCTGGTGAATGCACATGCCCTATAGCAAAAATCTCTTTTAAAAAAATGCTCTTGGGGCGGGTAGATGGCGAGATGATTAAGGTGCTGGACTCCCACATGGCTAACTGCAGTTCAAGTCCTGGACCTGGCAGTCTGCTTTCTCACTTTCCCCCTTTCTCTCTGGTCAAATTTAAAAAATAATAATAAATTAGAAATAGGGCTGGCAGGTGGTGTGGTGGTTAGGGTGCTGGACTCCTACACGGCTGACAGCAGTTCAAGTCCCAGACCCGGCAGCTTGCTTTCTTCTCATTTTCCCTTTCTCTCTCTCTCTGTCTGGTCAAATCTGGAAAAAAAGAAAAAAAGAAAAGAAGAGAAGAGAAAAGAAAAGAAAAGAAAAGGAAAGGAAAGGGCAAATAAAATTAAATAAATATATATTTTTTTTAATGGAGAGGTTTTGGCTATAGGGCGCATGCACTCGCCAGAAAGACAGACAGAGACAGAGAGACAAAAACCGAGAAATCATCCCCCAGGGGCGATGGCCATGCCATAATCCCTTCTTCTCTATTCTCCTCTCGGGATCTTGGGCATGCATGCACATGTGCCCAGTGTGAGTTTAAGCCCACCAGGTCTGGGACTCGAACCACGGACGGCTACGTGAGAGTTCAGCTACATAGCCATTACGCTAACTGCAGGTCCCAAATAAATAATTCTTTAAAAAATTGAAAATAATAAATAATTGTTTAAAAAATAACAAAAAGCAGCTCTTGCACCACAGTAGCATAGCTAATGCAATGCTCTGCACTGGTGAAGATACATGAAAAGATACATGAACCCTGGGTTCATGTCCAAGGTCTCTCTACACTTGGGTGTCCATGTGTGTGCCCATGATCCTGACTGGCTGGGAATGGGGAAGAAAATGGCATGAGGACCCTACTAGGGTTGCCTCTGTCAATCCCTCTCATAGAATAAATAAATAAATAAACTTAGGGACCAGCAGATGGTATAATGGTTATGTTGCTGGCCTCCCACATGGTCGACCGCAGTATGAGTCCCAGACCTGATGACTTAAAACTCATACTAGGTGTGTGCTTAAGGTGCTGGACACTCCCACATGGCTGACCATGGTTTGAGTCCTGGATGTAGTAGGTTGCTTTCTCACTTTCCTTCTCTCTGTGAGTCTGTTTTTCTCTGGACAAATGAAAATGACTGAGTAAATAAATAAAATTAAGTAAATAATTCTTAAAAAGAAAATGTGAACACGGTCAACTTACAAAGTAAGTAATGTAGAGTGATTAAATGTATTAAAAAAAAAAAAAAAAAGCCAGGGTGGAAGGGGGCCAGTCAGTGGCATGGTGTTAAGGTAACTGGATCCCACATGGCCAACCAAGCAGTTTGAGTCTTGAATCTGGTGGCTTAAAGAACACACCAGGCATATATGTGTGTGTGCTGGTATGCCTAAAATCCCAAAAGAAGAATGGAGGTGGGTCTGCAGTGTGGTCATGCCCCTTGAGGGCTGCCTTCTCACTGTCCAGCTATCTCTTCCTCTCTGTCTCTGGTGAGCACATATGCCCTATAGCCAATTTAAAAAAGAGAGAAATAATCTTGAAACTTAAGTATTAATACTTAAAACCAAAGTCTGGAATTTTCAGTAGCTTAAAATACATAAAAAAATGCGATGCTAAATATAAACATTGCATAATTAATGTCATGGGTAAGGGAGTCTATTTAACACACAGGTGACTTAAGTCAAATTAATGATTAATAGAGTACACCTGGAATTAAAAAGATCTTATTTTATTAAAAAAGAGTATTCCTTTATGCCCTTTCTCCCCAACTCATACATAAAGCTAATACAATTGTCAACATAAATATTTTACTTTCAGAAGCAATGACAATATGTGAATCATAGCCTTAGAACCCTAGAACACAAGGTAAGTCACGGTAACGTAGGCAAACAGTCCTAGTTGTTTAAAAAGCATTTAGTTATGATACTCATCATGTTTTATGGTATTTAGAGAATTTCTGAATGACAAGTGTAGTAACTTCTTCAATATCTAGATACAGTAAATGTAAAACTCAATTTTGTGCAAGACTCTTACCACTAACAAGGCACTATCATCAGTATGCTGAGACCTTCTGGATGGGAAAGGACACTGGAGAGGCGGAGAAAAATGAACCAATGTCAAAACAAACCGCACACGAGACTATTTCACAAATCCACACACAAGAAAAGAGACATATTAAGACATGCTTCTGAAGCTGCTGACATATAGGATTGTCATTCATGATCATCTGGAATTTACACACCATAATAGCCATTAATTTGGTTCTGAGCACTGATTTTCTTAAGAGTTTAAACAACTTCGAGTATGATCATATTGCCTAAAAACCTTCTAAAGCAAGGAGGGAACAGAGATTATTCTGTTCACAGAAGAGAAGCTGAAGTATCCATGTAGCAATAGCATAGAAAATTTGTAGTGGGGTCAGCAGGTGGTGGTTAAGGTGCCAGACTCACACAAGGCTGACTGTGGTTTGAGACCCAGGCCTAATGGCCTGAAAATCATGCTGGGGGTGTGTGCATGCATGCCCAAAATCCTGAGAGGAGAATGGAAGAGAAAGAACTGTGGAATGGCCATCCTCCCTGAGGGTGCTTTTTCACTTGTCTTCTGTCTCTCTACAAAATATGCATGCCCTATGGCATAAACCAAAACCAAAAACAAAACCAAAACAAAACAAAATTGTGGTAATTTAGTGACCCAGTGACAAAGTAAACAATAAACTCCTGAATCATGATTTCTAATCTAGGATCTCTTTATTACCTGTCTCAGACAAAATAAGAGTATAATTGAGGGCCAGCAGGGGGCATGGTGGTTAAGGGCACTGGACTACTATGTGGCCAACTGTGGTTCAAGTCCCAGACCTGGTGGCTTGCTTTCTCACTTTCCCTCACTCTCTCTCGCTCTGTCCCTCTCTGGTCAAAGTAAAAGAAATAAATAAGTAAAAGTTATTTAGTTAAAATAATTAAAAATGAGTATAACTGAAAATTTTAAAACTGTACAGGTTGTTTTCCTGTGAAGCTTTAGATTTTAGAGAACAATTTACTTCAGAATAACCATCAAGAATGAAATGCAGTCTATCTCTGAGTGCTCATGCCCTGTGGCAAGTTAAAAAATGAAAATGATAATAAATAGAATTTTAAAAATGTATTAAACATATCAAACTTTGGTTATTGAGGGTTTAGGAAGAATTATTACCTGATAAGTTATTATATCAATATATAATGTTCAAACAAAAATAAAAGTAGCTGTTATATCAAAAAATTTTTAAAAAGTATTTTTTAAAGAATTATTTTACCTAACTTTATTTATTATAATTATTTTTATTATTTTTAAAATTTGACCAGAGAGGGACACAAAGAGAGAGACAGGGAAAGTGAGAAAGCAAGCCACCAGGTTTGGGACTTGAAGCCCTGTCAGCCACGTGGGAGTCTAGCAACCTCAATCACCATGCCCCTTAAAATAATCATTTAATTATTATTATTATTACTACTACTATTATTATTATTTGCTATAGGCCATGTTTGTTCACCAGAGGGAGACAGAGACAAAGAGAGAGAGAGAGAAAGTGAGAAAGCATACCACCAGGTCCAGGACTTGAACCATGGTGAGCCATGTGGGAGTCTAGCACCCCAACCACCATGCCACCTACTGGCTCCAAAAAGATTTTTAAAACCTCTGTAATGGATACTTTCAAACATTTCAAACAATGTACTTTCTCATACTAAAAACACTATGCTGTTAGCGTAATGGCTGTGTTGCTGGACTCCCATGTAGTCGACCGCGGTTCGCATCCCGGACCTGGCGGCTTAAACTCACGCCGGGCGCGTGTGCGTGCGTGCCCAGGATCCCCAGAGGAGAATGGAGGAGAAGGGATTGCAGCGTGACCATCCCCCCGGGGGGGTGATTTCTCACTTTCTGTCTCTATGTCTCTGTCTGTCTGGTGAGTGCGCACGCCCTATAGTGAAAACCTTTCCAAAAAAATTATATATATATATTAAAAAAACAAAAACAAAAAAACCTCTAATCTACATCTGATAAATTTCCTGGACAGTATCTTTCTCAAAATAAGTAAACTTTTGGGATCAGCAGGTGGCATGGTGGTTAAGGTGTTAGATGGTCCCATATGGCCGACCATGGTTCAAGTCCTGGACCTGGTGGCTTGCTTTTTCCCCCTTTTTTTCTCTCTCTCTCTCTCTGTGTGTGTGTGTCTGATCAAATTAAAAATAAATGAATGAATAAAGTTAAATAAAGAATTCTTTTAAAAAAATAAGTAAACATTTGTGACAGGAAAAAAACCCCCACAATATTTTGATTAATTAAAACATGGTAATCACATGTGAAACATTTTATTTTCATTATAGAAATAACAAATTCCAAAGAAAGGTGATTATACAGACTTACCTCACCATCTAAGCACAGTTGTTTTTGTGGACTCTTTGATGTTTTTTGCTACACAACCAACAGCACCCCACCCAAAAAAAAGGAGAATTGGTTAGAATCTGGAACAGTATAAATGATAAATTCTATTTATTAAAGTAATCATTCACATTCATTTTTTTACCTCTTGCATATAGCAGTTTTTTAAGTTTATTGGTTCGAAGATGTTGCCCCTTGCCTTAAATATTTTACTATTTAGGGACCAGCAGTTGGCATAATGGCTATGTCGTGGACTCTCATGTAGTCGACCGCGGTTCAAGTCCCGGACCCGGTGGCTTGAACTCACACCGGGCACGTGTGCGTGAGTGCCCAAGATCCCGAGAAAATATATGGAGGATAGGGGATTGTGGCGTGGCCATCCCCTCTAGGGGGTGATTTCTCACTTTCTGTCTCTCTGTCTCTGTCTTTCTGGCGAGCGCATGTGACCTATAGCAAAAACCTCTAAAAAAAAAATCAAGAGAGGGAAAATGAGCAATCACCCCCACTAGGAGGGGAGAGCCATGCTGCAATCCCTTTCCTCCATTTTCCTCTCAGGATTTTGAGAGCGCACACACACACACACACACACACTCACACACACACACACACACGGCATGTTTCTTCAACAACAAAGTCTGGGACTCAAACTGAAATCGGCCATGTGGGACCCAGCATCTTAACCATCATGCTACCTGCTGGTTCACATAGTAACAGTTCTTAGCTAAGTACCCCTTTTTATTTCAGATGAAAATAGACTACAAAAGGAGGATATATCTCAGGGTACATAGGTTTGGGGTCAGGGAAGGATTGAAAAAAGGTATTTCTTAATTTTTTGTCATCGGTCAAAAGATTTGCCTTAATTTTGACAGAAAATAATAGGTCGGCTGGGCCTGTAGTGTAGCAGGTAAAGGCTGTGCAGAGGAGCCAGCTGTGGTTTGAATCCAGCCTGGGCAGTAACATACCAGACACAAGTGCATGCGTGCCCAGAATAACTGAAGGGATGGAGCAGCATGGCCAACTGTGGTTTGAGTCCCAGCTCTGCCAGTAATATACCAGACAGGAGTGTGTGCATGCTCAGCATAACTGATGGGATGGAGCGGTGGAGGAAAAAGCACTGTGGCATGACCAGCCCTGACAGGGAGTATAATCTCTCTCACACACATCTATGACATTAAAAAAAAAAATTGAAAAAGCAATGGAACTTGTTAGATGAAGAGAAATCAGGTGAGAAAGACAATTAAAGATCATCATGGGAAGGCCAGCAGGTGGCATGGTGGTTAAGGGCATTGGACTCCCACAGAAATCGACTGGGGTTTGAGTCCTGGATCTGAGAGCAAGCTTTCTCACTTTCACTCTCTTAGTCTATCCCTCTTTGGTTAAATTAAAAAAAAAAATAATAAAAATAATTCTAAAAAAAAAAAAAAAAGAGCATGATGGGCTTGATACATTTGGAAAAAAAAAAACAGAACTACTATGTAAAGCAGACATGAGCATAGTACTATAAGAAGCTGGCCTTTGGTCAATGTTAAATTTAGGAGAGAAAATACTTAGAAGACAAGAGTGATTTATTTATTTAGTCACTCATGTAATAAATATTTAAGAGTATTTGTATTTATTGAATAAATAAAAACCTATTAAATATAGGTACTAAAAACCTATTAAGATATAGGAATATTATAGTGAGTAAAACAGACATAGTTCCTATCTTCACGGAGTTTATAGATAAATTGGACAGATATTAAATAAAATTATAAAAATAACCTAATTATGAAGAAAAAAAAACCCAAGATGGTTTCAGAACAAAAAGACAAGTTATGGGGCCAGCAGGTGGCATGGTGGTTAAGGGCGCTGGACTCCTACTTGGTCAACCATGCTTCAGATCCCAGACGTGGTGGCTTGCTTTCTCACTTTTTCTCTCTGTCTCTCTGTCCCTCTTTGGTCAAATTAAAATTAATTAATTAATTAAAGTTGAATAAAACAATTTTTTAAAAAAAATAAAAGTCTGCATCGTTTCTGAAATATATTGTTAGGTATATAAGCACTTATGAGTAAATCACTTTAAGAGTATCATTCAGTAAATTCAAACAACTCACCTTGACAAAGTCTAGAACGGCATCTCTCTGCATCTGCTTGGTCCTTGTTTTCTCCTCCTCATACTGTAGGGCAGCAAGCTGTGCCTCTCTCCGAGTACGCTCAACTAATTGCTCTCTTCTCTGATGAAGCTCCAAGTCTGTTTGTGAAAGCTGGAACACAAGTACCACATATCACATGGAAGTGGGGATGAGGATCCCTTCTCAATATTCCTTAGCAGTGCAGGAATGACTGGTGGCTGAAGCAGCTTTTATTTTGCAGTCACCTAGCATTTCCTTACGTGTGTTTACTGTTGACCCCAATGCACATCTGCACTGTTCCTATTATGTACTATAAAGCCATCACATAGGCAAGGACTTATTTTTTGTCTTATGTCTAAAAACACTGTTAGCAAGTATCATGTACATTAAATGGTTGGAAACAGGTGGCAAAGTTTACAGATATATGACAATGGTGATTCAAGTATTACAAAAGAGGAAACCATTTCAGTTTTTAAAAAACAGTAAATATAAATAAATAAATCTATTAAAATTACCTGATTGTGACTAGCTGACAGTGGTAAGAGAGATGATGGCTCAACTGGAACTCTAACCCACCCCCAAAAAAAGAAAAAAAAATGTTGATAATAAGTCAGACATAAAGAACAAATAAAAACTTGTCTTATTAATGTAGTTTCTATTAATCAGCTAGCAAACTGTCCAGTTAACACTGAGAGTCACTGCAGTTAAATCATTAAACCAAAGGAATACCTGATGTCTCCATCTCATGTTCTTTTTTTCTTTTTTTTTTTAAGGAATTCTTTTATTTAATTTTATTCGCTGTCATTATTTTATTTTATTTGAAATTGACCAGAGACTGTATTACCACTGTCTCTGTACAGCGTCCCCCATTCTTATTTTATTTTATTTTTTTAGACAGAGAGAGAGAAGGAAAGTGTAAAAGCAAGCTGCCACGTCCAGGACTCAAACCACAGTCAGCCACGTGGGAGTCCAGCCACCTTAACCACCATGCCACCTGCTGGCCCCATCCACCTCATATTTCATGTGACAATAATATCACTGATTAATCTACAGCTATATAACAACTGATATGTCAACTAATATTGAGATACAGTTAATTAAGGTAACTTTTCAAACAGTAATATCTTGGTATAACACACATAACTGTTATCTTCTTTACTACCATGATTTAAACAAAATACATGTCAATTGAGATTCTTTTATATACAAAGCCATTTTATCAACAGAAATCTGGAATACTATGGAACCTGGTGATTGTACTTATAAAGCACTCCTCTTAATTTTCAACCAAAGAAATTTTAGTAACAAAAGTAAAAATTTTATTGATTACTTATTAATTATTTTGCTAGAAGAACCATGCACTTGCCAGAGACGGGACAAAGAGAGAGGGGAGAAAGCACCTCCCCCAGGGAATGCTCACATCACAATCTCTTCTCTTACATCTCTCCCACCTTCTGGGATTTGGGGCAGGCATACACATGTGTCTGGTGTGTTTCTCAAGTTGGCAGGTCTGGGACTTAACTGTGTAGCACATGGGAGCTAGCTGCTTTGTCCACCAAGCCACAGAGCTGGCCTGACTTACGTGTTTTTAACGTTTCTTCGATGAGCAATAGGAAGAAAAAGGAGAAAAGAGACAGAGATAACGACACAGAGACACATACCCCTAATAGGATCCTGATTTTGAGATCTACCCCCAGCTTCTGCCAGCCTTTTATCATGGGCACCCAGCACGTTCATGGAGGTCCCTGAACTTGAATCCAAAATCTTTCCATGTGAGTCAGCCTTACAGAGCACTGTATTACCACTGTCTCTGTACAGCGTCCCCCATTTTTATTTTATTTTTAAGAGAAAGATTTTTGCTATAGGGTGCATGCGCTTACTAGAGAGACACAGAGTGAGTAATCATCCCCTGGGTTATGGCCGTGCTGCAATCCCTTTTCTTCCACTCTCCTCTTGGAATTTTGGGCACCTACGCATACGAGTCTGGCATGAGTTTCAAACTGCTGAGTCTGGAACGCAAACTGTGGTTGGTCATGTGAGATTCCAGTGTCTAACCACCATGTCACCAGGTAGTCCTCCCATTTTCATTCTTAAGAAAAATATAAAATCCTATTGGATATTTAAAAAAAATGAAAAAGTACTACTTCCCTCTCAATGTTACTTTTTCTAGTTTGATATTTATCTTTTTCCTGGACCAGAGATAGTGTTTGAACTCTCTAAAACTCATCCATGTGTCTGCAACTAAAAATACTGTAGTAGTGACTTTTGACATCTAGGACCTGAAATTTGAAACTATGATTACTAGCCTGTTAAGTTGATTTAAATGCATGAATATTATGCAGCCAAATTTTTAGCTATGGTATAACATGAATTACTTTTTCTCCAATTTCCAATTAAGATACTCTTCATCTTCCTCTGAAACCTCCTCAGAAGAGCCTTATGTATATTTTTATTTTTATCACTATTCTGGTTACCACCATTTTAAAAAAATGTTTCAGTTCATTTCTTTCCTTTCTTTCATTCTTTCTTTTTTTTCTTTTTCTTTTTTTTTTTTTTTTTTGCTATAGGGTGCATGAGCTTGCCAGAGAGACAGAGAGAGAGAGAGGGTGAGAAATCACCCCCCAGGGGGATGGCCATACCAAAATCCCTTTTGCTCTCCTCTCCTCTAGGGATTTTGGGCATACACACATATGTGCCAGGTCTGTTTTTCAAACTGCCAGGTCTGGAACTCTTCCAACCTCTGCCTATTACCCAATTACAAAACTACTTCCACAATTTCAGCTAGCTGCAGCAATGCAATCCTTTCCACAATGCAATAATAATCTGTATTAGTCTGCTAGTGCACTGCTAACAGAAATAACCAAGACTGGGACCAGCAGTTGGTGTAATGGCTACGTTGCTGAACTCTCATGTAGTTGACCACGGTTTGAGTCCCAGACCTGGTGGCTTAAACACACTGGGTGCATGTGTGTACGTGCCGAAGATTCTAAGAGGAGAATGGAGGACAAGGGATTGCGGCGTGGCCATCTCCCCTGGGTGGTGGTGGTGGGGGTGATTCTTCACTTTCTGTCCCTCTCTGTCTTTCTGGTGAGTGCACACGCCCTGTAGCAAAAATATAAAAAATAATTAAAAAAATAAATAACCAAGACTGGGCAATTGATATAAACAGATTTATTTGATTCATGATTCTAGTATTCTAAAAGCTAGAAAGTCTAGAAGAAGCATCATACAATGGCAGAGAGCAGAACTTAAGCTGTGCAGAGCACAGAGTGGCCTGAATCCATGGGGACCTTGGTATGCGTCATATTCTCTCATAATAAATACACCGGGACTCAATCATGGGGACCCTGACCTAATCACCTGATCACTAATCTTTTCCTAAATTCTCACATTTCAACACCATAATCAGAGTTACGTTTTTACCCTCTTACTCCCATTACAATAAGTTGTGGGGGACATAATTCAAATTATAGTAGTGTCTGTGTTTGTATGTGTGTGTGTGAGAGAGATAGGTAGGAAGGAAATTGTATGGTGGAGGAGGGGAGTGGAAGAGAATTAGGAGAAAAAAAGAAGTAAGCAATTTTCTTTTTCATCTTGTTAGTAGAGGGCTCAAATGACTAGTGGGTAAGTCACAATTTCTTAAACTGACTCAATTCTTGAGTCTTTGAACTGATGGACTGCTGCGATAGATGGACTCCTTCTTATCAACATACTATCAGATTATGACAAGTCTCACAGGCCTGAAAGTTATCAGTTACTTTGAGATCTTTTTTGTCTTTCTAGGTTCTTTATTATATTTGAATGTAAGCTCAAATCGTGTAAGAACTTTGAAGTCCACAGTATATCCCAACACCTGGAAAAGTACTTATACAAAGGAGATATTTAACAAATACCTGATAACTAAACAAGTGAAGTATGTATTGATCTGACAGCTTAACTCTTTATTGGGATTAAGTATGTTGATTTGAAGAACGAAGGGACCATCAATCAGGAAATGTGAGTGGACTATAAAAGCTGAGAAAAGGTCAGCAAGTAGTATGGAGGTTAAGGCAGCAAGATCCCACAAGGCTGACTTTGTGGTGCGAGTCCTGGACCCAGTGGCTTGAAAATCATGACAGGTGTGTGTACACATATGCCCAAAATCCTGAGAACATACTGGAGGAGACAGTATCGTGGTGTGGCCATCTCTCCTGGTGATTTCTCACTTCCCTCCTCTCTTCCCTCATTCTCTGTCTCTGGTGAGCACATGTGCCTTATAGCAAAACTGGGGGGAAAAAAAAAGACCTAAGACAGCCAGCTAGGTAACAGTCCTATAATTGCATGGAATTAACTTCTGCCCACAAAATGTATTCGCATGAAGGCAGATTCTCCCCGAGAGTCTCCAGATAAGAATCCAGGCAGACAACACTGTGACTTTGGCCTTTTAAGACCCTAAGCAGAGAACCCAGGTAAATTGGCCCAGACTTGGGTCCTATAAAACTGCTATATAATAAATGGGTATTATTTTAAGCTGCTACATGTGTAACAGAAGCAAAAGAAAACTAATACATAATGTAACTGAGTAAGAAAGCTGACCTCTACCTTGCAGATTTCTGTTAAACCTTGCTGACCCTGAGCTTCACTTATAGTGAATACAGAGGTGAAAGAAACATGATATAAAATCTAGGTCCACCCAAGGTGGGGAAATGTGATAGAAAACTCCTGCTTGAAATTAGAGTCTCAAAAAACAAGCCCTCACTGTAAGAATACATGGTAACTAAAAAGCCATTGTGAGATAAATTTCAAACTCTTGTTATTTAACTAAATCCTCATGAACAAGTAAAAAGACTTTCTCCTTATACTTTCCTTATTCATCTATATCTCATTCCCCAAGATAACTTTAATTCCTGTCAAATGTAAGTAAAGAGCTACGTATGAAATTTACAATGTGAATTTACTGTCCTTTAGGAATATCAAGTCTACTGTTTTAAAACTTCATAAAAACAGAGAGGAAGCAAAGAACTCAAGACTGGAAAACTTTCAACTATGATGATACAGTTTATGGAATGAAACCTTTTAGAACTCAAGAATGAGAAGAATAAGAGAATAAGTTCAAGAATGAGAAGCATAGGACCCACAGATGGTATAATGGTTACATTGCTGGACTTCCACATAGTCAACCGCAGTTCAAGTCCCAGAGCTGGCAGCTTAAAACTCAGGTGAGGGTAGGTGGGCCTGCAGGTGGTGTGGTGGTTAAGGCAGCTGGTTTCCCACATGGCTGACTATGGTTTGAGTCCAGGACCTGGCAGCTTGATTTCTCACTTTCCTTCTCTCTCTTTGTCCCTCTCTGGTCAACTTCAAAATAAAATAAAATAATGACAATGAATAAAAATAATTCTTAAAAAACAAACAAACAAACAAACAAACAAAAACAAACCTCAGGCTGGGGGCATGTGTATGCGTGCCTAAGATCTCAGAAGGCGAATGGAGGAAAAGAGATTGTGACATGGCCATCCCCCCAGGGGGTGATTTCTGGCTTTCTGTCTCTCTCTGTCTCTCTGGCGAGTCATTATATAGCAAAAATTTCTCTTAAAAAATAAAAAGAATGAGAAGTAGTGCTCTAAATACTCAAGCTAATTGTATAAATATTTTAAAAATAATTACTTATTTAATTTTATTGGTTCATTCCTTTTATTTTAATTTGACCAGAGAGACACACAGAGAGAGAGAGAGAGAGAGAGGGAGGGGCAAAGTGAGAAAGCAAGCCACCAGGTCTAAGACTTGAACCGTGGTTGACCATGTGGGAGTGTCCAGCGCCTTAACCACCATGCCACCTGCTGGTCCTGAATTCTGTAAATATTTTTAAGAGGTATTAAATGTAGTAGAAAGACCATAATAACTGAAATAGAAATGATGAAATATACCACTATCTCTATTTCTCTGTTATCCAGTCAAAAATTTAAGTAAAAAAAAAAAAGAAAATTAGAGGGACCAGCAGATGGCGCAATGATTATGTCACTAGACTCCCACGTAGTTGACCACGGTTTGAGTCCCCTGCAGCTTAAAACTCACTCTAGGTATGTATGCATGCCTGAAATCCTAGAAGAATGGAGGAGAAGGGATTGTGGTGTGGCCATTCCACCTGAGGGGTGATTTTTGCTTCCTGTCTCTGTCTCTCAAGCAAGAACACATGTTCTATGGCACAAAAAAAAAAAAAAAAAAAA